AGTCTAACAGAAAGGAGGAAGCAAAGCATGCACAACATGAACTACAAGGAAAAAAAAAAGGCTGGGGGGAAGCATCATGCTGCACTAATTGTGGAAACAGAATGACTGGTTTTCTTTCAGAGAAATACTAGTGTATCATGAGACTACATGACTGTCACTCTTTTTTTTCATATTATCTGAAAAGAAAACAGCTGGAATATTCCAGCAAAATATTTTAGGTATTCATTAGAGTCCTTAAATAAAGAGTATTTAAACCCAGACTGCCAAAACAGCAGTAATCAGCACTGATTACACCCTTGTTTACAAAGCAAAGCATTAAACCCAGGAAACTTTCAGTATCCTGCTGTTTATCTGGTATCTCTAATCTCTCTTTAATCTTGTTTCTTGCAGCAATTAAAAATGTGGCTGGTATCCACATACCCATTAAAAACTGCACATTTAAAATTATTCCTGATTTAAAGTAGATGCAATATCAGACTCACAAAACCAGGTTTTGTTAATGCAACATTCACAGAAATGTTCACATTCTCAGATGAAAGATTTTATGAACAAAGGTATTACATACCTCTACAATGATTTATTAAGATCTACAGATGTAGTAAGGCATTTTCTGTCCTTACATTTATACCTTTTTGCATTTAATAATTACAATATTAATGTAAAAATGACAACATTATCAGAAGTGACAAGGTGTTTGTTTTGACCTTTTATTATTTCACAGTGTCTGTTATATAGCAGTAGCATAAATGCCATATTGTGTGTACTTTTGAAAATAATAATGTACTTAGTTGGATTCATTTGCATCTCCCTTTTCACAAGTCAAACTTGAAAGATCTTATTTATCATTTAAATAGGAACTCAATGACAGGATTTAATCCAGTTGGAGGAACCTTACTTTTCATAGATAACATGACTGAGTGAAAATCAAAGAGGATGCATTGGCACAGAAGCAGATCATAAGCCACTTCAGTTGCTTTTGAACTAAATTACAGAATTGAGGCAACTGGCTTCTGTGGGTGACAGGTAATCTACTGGAGTCTTCCATACAAGCTTTAAACCAGTATCATTTTAATCTAGATGTAAAAAGAACTCTGCATTAATCTGCCCTTCCCCATGGAATGATTTTGTCTTGGCATAGTTAGAGACAAGATCACCCTTGACATCTTTTTTTCTGTGAGGCTCTGTTGAAATCTGGGCTACCTAATCAGGCATTTATAACAGGCGTTATGGTTCAAGCTGGAAAAATGAGTGTTAAGCTGGTCAAGGGCAGCATGTTACTACTATTCTGCTTTTGTAGTATTGTGGGCAGAGGTCAGCTTTCCTGAAGTGACTTTCTAGATAGAAGTGGCTTAAAAATATCTGTCTTCAGCCAATAAAATTGAACACAGATGCTGTTTCAACATCACATCATAGCAATGAACAGTTACAGGGGCACCATGTCAATATAGCTTCCTCATCTGGAGCATAAAATTCCAAATCAAGTCTCAAATAGCAATGTCTTGAAAATGTCGATTAAGATAAACTACTTTTATGTCTTGTTCAGTACATGAACTACCAATAGTACTTTCAAAATATGATAAAAAAAGAGAAAAATAGGTAAAGAAAATACAAAGCTTGGCAACAAAGGTAATTTCATGAACTATTCAAACCATGATTCAGAAGGAAGAAAACAGCACTGTATTAATTTTAAATGATTTTCTGCTGAGCAGGCAAAACATAAGTATACTCAATTAGACACATGCAGCATGATACAGACTTAGAATTTTAATAAAGGCCAAATATGCTTGTTCATAGGCATACAAAGTACAAATTTGTAAATGTTGAAATAAAATTTACTCTCTATCCGAGACTTCTATTTAACTCTTCCACTCCTAGAAAAAAGATGACAGTTCTCTTTGTTTTGCTTAGGACTGGAAGTGTAAGCCAAACTCCAATAAAAAGCTACATCACTGGCTAGCTTCTAAAGAATATAAGTAAAAAGATGTAATAAATCTCACTGGGATTCAAAGCTGCATCTCTTACTCTCACACAATTTTCTTGTATTCTGACTGTCAAGTCTCATGTAAAGCAAGTAGCTGAGATTTCTCCCACTTCTAAAGCCTAGTAAATAAGATTAACAGAAACAGATTTAATGCAAATATGGATGAGGGAGGAGGTCTGCATGCCTGCCCAGTTATAATACCCTAGGAGCCTGGATATACCTCAGAAAGTTTTACAAGGAAGGGATCCCACAGTCTCTGTGCACTTTTCCCGTAGTTCTGTGTCTATTACCTTTTTAACTTGTAGAGCTGATTGTCATGAACAGTGAGTGGTCTTTCTGTAAGTGCCAGCAAGCAGTCACATCCAGCTACAAGTCTACATCCAAGCTACACTCAAATCCTTCTCTATGACATGATGAAAAGTTCACACCTTTTTCTCCAGCTCTGGTAGAACTAGAAGTGAGTTTGGGACAAATTTTTCCAAGTAGGTTGGAATCCTAGCCTTGCTTTCTGAAGGACAGACGCTCACCTCACAGTGTTGTTTTGCTCAACAAATGCCTCTCCTCCAACCCAAAAATGTCAAACATACATCTCTCAACTCACACACTGACCATATAAAAAAAGACAGAACAATTATCCTTCTAGCACTGAACTTTCCAGAGCTTTCAGAATGAAGGATCCACAAGTTAAATCAGATATGCAGCTTTGAACCCAGCTTCTTACAGCGCTACAATGAGCCTTTCTGTCACAAGACTTGTGATAGTGAAGGCTTAATTTAAAAGCCTAATTCTTGCAGAGGCAAGACAAAAGAGAAAAGAAAACATCTCTGCTTCTTTGCTTTCACTCCTGTTTGGTTTTTTTTGTGTGTGTGCATATACTTAGTCTCAATACTTAAGGCAAAAATGCCTGAAAAAGTGATCTGAGTAATTTATAAAGTTACTTACAACATGTCAAAAGGGCCAACATGTCAAAAGGGCAGCCATGATGACTTTCAATTTTTAAATTACAACTCTGAGAAAAAACAGAGCATTTAAGGACTGCCATCACCCAGAAGACTCATTTTCAAGTAGAAAATTAGTATTATGAACAGGATAAAGTTACCAAGCACTGGCAGCTCTGCAGCAGGCAAAACTTTACAGCATGAGAAGAGGCATTTTGGTTTGTTCTTACAATATTGCTTGATGTACTGCTTATGCAAGTCAGCTGGCTCACATAGGTTCTTTGCTGTAGGTTTGTAACAACTATATGTAAAGTCACAAGAGCACAAAAATGTTAAACTTAATTTTACTTTTATGAAAACTGAAACATTCAAATTCACACTAATCATTAAAATTACCTTTACAGTGAAATTAAAAGTACCCGTTAGGAAAATAAGTGATTTTTATACCTGAGAGGATTCTTATGAATCAACATATTTGGGAGATGACTGAACTTTAAAACATTGTGCATGAAGGGTAATACCAATATTAGTTAGAATTCATTTTGTTCCCCCATTTGCTTACCACCTCCTCCTCCTCCTCCTCCTCCCTCTTGTACTGCTGTGAGGTTATCTTCCCTTGAGAACTTCTCCTATTTCAAAGTTACATGAACTTTAATAAATTTGTACTCACTGGGCCAAAATATCTAAATGTCAACTTTCAATCTCACTGACCTGCAGCAATTTCCAATATATATTCTGCTTATAACATGCTACACAGTAAAAGGCTTACTTCATTTCAGCAAATTATGCAAGAGAGAGTATTTCCTCTCTATAAATTTTCCACACCAACATAATTGTAGTATGAAAGCTACAAGTCAAAGATGCAGATAAGGTCATGTTGTTTGACACTGTTTGACAGTTGTTTTTACTGTACAAATAAAAAGTACTGGAGCTAAAGATAGAAGTTGCATTTGAGGTTTCATAAATTAAATCTTTCTCTGGCACAGTTACGTTATTGTTATTAAATACTTAAACAAGTTACTACTTTAATAAAAAATAATATTTCTAGTTGTTCTCAACAACAAAATGTAATAAGTAGGTGGACAATGTTCTGATTTGGATTTACTGCTTTGAAGTTATAGGAGAATTCTATTTGACTGAAATAAAAGATTATTTTTTTTAATGTAAATACACTCACTTGAGCATTTCCCCAATGTGGTTGGCTCTGTTTCAAACAGTGTTAAAAATTTTAAACATACACAAATGTTTACCTCATAAACTACTGTTTCTCTTGTTTTATGCTAAAAATTTAGTGGATTATGAGAAATATTTATATCTTTAATTTTATAAGAAGGCAGGAAGAGTACCACAAACAGACTGGTATTCTGGAGCATCTCATTTTGTAAATGTTTGGGGTGTTTGTTCTAGTATGTGCTAAGGTGCCACTTACACAAATCCTGATGATTCTGGGTCAAATATCTGTAGTGCAGATGATGACAACTATTGGAACTACTGCAACTGTCATTTGTGTAGACTGCCTGCTGCGCTGAGACAGATTTCAAACAGATCCATGCCAGTGCAATCATAAATGGTAGAATTTCTTTGCCAAGAAGCTTTATCCTACAAGTATATTTTTATAAAGCATATGAAAAAGAAGTGTTTGCAAACAATACATTCAATCTTTTAAAAACATTTCAACACCCCTTCCTCAAAATAATACATTTGCTGTTTTAAAAGCATATAAATCCTCTCTCCCCAAAAAAGGCATATCAAAATGTATGTTGATCTGAGCTCTCTACCTGGGTGTATCTTGACATTTAATACTTATAAACATTAAAACTGCTTCCAAAATTTTGTAATGCCAACATTTTTTGAAAGCAAAACTCTGCTTTGTTTTCTAGAAAATCTTTGTAAATTTTTTATCACAATATCACTATGAGAAAGGAGAATAAGCACCTGACATTGGTATTAAATAAACAAGCTCTATATCAAAAGTGGTTTGAAAGTGGTTTGGTACAGATTGTGAAAGATGCAATGTATGAAAATAAATTTAATGTTGTCTTAGCATGTGAGAATTAAGTCCAGTGCAGCCGATATTATACTTATTTTGTGAATAGCCAGTACATTAGTAATACGCTAACATAGATGACACACAGCATTACCCAGCCTATTCTTTTAATAGGTGGCCTGTTACCTTTCACGTGGAGAATGGCACTTGATGAGATAGTGCCGTTCAAATTTTTAGCCCGAGCAACATAGAGGCCAGCATCTTTATCACACACCTTCTGAATGAACAAAGTATGCTTTGTGTCCTTTTGCAAAAGCTTTAAGCGCTCATCTGCAGTCAGTTTCTGGCCCTTCTTGTACCTGAAGCAGAGAGTCAGTTTTCAAGTCAGATTTATGTCACTGTACGCCAAGCAGAACTTTGCAAATTCAGACAAACTATAACACTACACTGACAGCAAAGGAAACAGCTCACTGCTGTGCTCTCCTTCCATGGTTTTAAAGTTATATGTAAATACATATGAATATTTAAACAATTCAAATTGCTGGATAATACATTTTTAATACTAGAAAATGTGGTTCTGCAAATGGTTTTTAATGTACAAGTCACAGTTAAATCACTGCAGTATGGAAGAGAGTAGCCTTGGCCCTAACTTTGTACTGAAACATTTGTTTTTTCATAAGGTGTTGAGTCAATCTGCATTCAAATAGAATAGCCTCTGAAGATGTGTAACATGCAAATTTTCTGAACTTGTGTCTTCAGTATAAAGAAAAGTCAAGAACCTGTTCCTCCACCCTAGCACACTTAACATTTACTTAGTTCACGTCATGAAACAGGACAGAACAACATGTCAGGAGTTATTTCAGAGAACTTGTGTCATATTCTAATGCTTGAGGATTACACTATGTATTGCTGTTGCCTCCTGATTTACATATGGAAGTGAGAGAAGATTCTGCCTCTTCTTGCATCATGATCTTTCAGCATAGGCTACATTTAACATAACACAAACACAGAAATGCTTTTTCATGTGTAAATACAAAAAAGATGTCTACATTGGTACAAAATACATAGTATTAGGGAATTTTTAATTACAAAATGCCCACTTTTTTTCTGTTTTCATAAATTTCTGATTTCCAAAATGCTTTTTAGTTGAATGTTATTTTTTAAAAGACCATATGTTAACAGTATATAGATTTTCGAGCTAAATTAACACTTTCTTGCAAAATGGAACTGAAGGCACTTCTTGTTTCATCAACAACACTCCTCAAAGTGTAGAATACAGAGGTTTAAACCAAAGTAACTTTATTGATACCAACACAGTGTAGCACCAAGTTTGCAGTGTCCAATATTTTTCTCAGTGCCGTAGAAGAAAAATCAGCTTATTACTAAAAAGGCTCGTGGTTTACCTAATTCTTTACATATGCAATAATAATCTTAACATGAAAACATTTCCAGTAAGAGGCATATCTAATTTCAATACATTAAAAGAAAGGCCTCCACTGAAAAAGTCTAATGGAATTAGGGGAGAAATGCCAAGTGAGCTAAAATTTTTGGAAGATACACCACACAGAGAATTACTACCAAAATCTTGAAGCCCTGCCCTTTGTATAGTTCATATGCCCTTTGGCAGGGAATATCTAAAAAGTCATCTTAAAGGTTGTTTATACTACTTCATCTGTATTTCTCACAAATGCAGGATAAAGCCATCTAATGGACATAAAAAAATTCAAAGAGAGCTAAGGCACACAAATATATAATATGAAACTGATTCTCCTAGTCTAGACTTTCAGGGTATTTTTTTAACCTGTAACTTCTCTTCACTTTTTGACAACTGACTTTCTCATATATATAAATGTGTCTCTATGGATATGTAGTGGCTCTACAAATAATTTAGGGTGCACACACGTGTATATCTCTGTCCATCTACACATAAGTGCCAAGATCCCGAGAAAATACAGGTTAATTTACTTAGAGTAAAACTGAAGTGCCCATTTAAGAAATTATTGAACAAGTGGAATGTCATATTCCATAATATAAAAACTATAGGATGTCTTTGCTTAAAAAACATTGAATATATTGCAGTAGTTTGATGCTCTCATTGTTCATAAAATTAAGTACACGGAGATTATTTCAAGTAGTAGTAAATTTGAAGGTGGGAATCATGCAGAAGTGTGGAGGAGGAAGGATGCAAGCCATTTATTCTAGTGTATAGATTAATTAACTTGGTCATAAGTAGTTCAGAGTGTCTTGCTAATGGCTATATTTACTGCTTCTCATTATAAGCTACCCACCATGTCAGTGTAGGCTCTGGGAATCCCGTTACTTCTACTTCCAAAGTTACTGGAGAACCTTCCATGACGGTTTTGTTAGACAGAAGCTGGGAGAAGTTAGGCACCTGTCCAGTTAGGCTGGCCATGCTGTTCTTTTCTGATGAACTTTTAATCTCTTCTCGGGTGACCATCTGCCTCTGGCAGCTTCTGGTGGTGTCTGATTGAAACACGAAACCTGAGAATGCATCAGGCAGAGCATGCAGCCTGTCCTGGGTTTTAGTACAGTTATTCAAGTCATGCAATTGTTCTTGTGTTTCTGCCATGCTTTTACTAAGTTCAAGGTGTTGCAAATGTGTTTTGCTCACTTCAGTCATCATGCTATATACTGGTTTGGCATCTACAGGGCAGGAAGCAGTGCTAGCTTCGGATATTCCTGCTAAGCTACAAGTCAAAGGAGATACTGCTCTGACTTTTGGACCAGAATCTGTTGAAGAGACACAAAACTTCTCGAACTTATCTGGTGGGCTTTCTATTGTATTATTTGTAGCATCAGCATAAGCAGAATTTGTTAAGAGATCAGACATTTCCATCACTTTTTTAATATTAGTATTTTTCTGTGTTTGCAAGCTATGGGAACAGACATGCAGACTACGAGAACTACAACAGCACTGCTCTTCTAACTCTGTTTCAGAATGTAAGATGTTGGATTCTGGTGTCTCAGAAAGCGGTGGCAAAGAGATATCATCAGGTGATATACACTCATATTCATCTCCGGAGGGTATTTCTTCTGCCAGGAATTCAGTCTGTAAACTATCCTCTTTGGCTGAAGATGGCAGCTCTGGATCCTGTGAAACAAGATCCTCACCAGCTGGACAGATAATTGGAATATCAGCCAATTTATTCCTCTCCTTAAATTAGGAGGGGAAAGAAGAGAAGGGAGAGAAGAAGAAGCAGAAAAACAGAGAGAGAGAGAGAGAGAGAGAGAGAGAGAGAGAGAGAGAGAGAATGAGTTATCATTCTATGCATCGTCTTTTCATTCAGAAGCTACCAACAATATTTGAAATTTTTTTTAAATTAAGCTTAATGTATTCTGAAAGTCAGGAGGAATTAAAAGGAAATGGATAGTCCATAAGAAAATTTTTCAGCAGCTAACTGGAATTTCAAATTGTTTGGATAGATTCTAGCAGATATTATTGTAATTACATAGAAGCATTTATTATAACAGTAACAATAAAATTAAGAATTTACCACTTTCTATAAACAAAGCACAACCTGTGGCTTTCCTGCAGGTAATGTTTATAAGAGCACTTTCAAGGGGGAAGGGGGAGGAGGAGATGCCCTAATTATATCTAAATGGGAAGCAGTTGCATAACAATAAAAATATATTAACAGCGAAGTTGCTGGACTGTGACTCTTTGAGAGTCACCAGTCATGTTGAAGAGTTACAAAATTAAATCAACATCTTTAAGATGTTTTCCAAGCATTTTATATTTCCTTCTTTTTTTGTTATCTGTTTCAAGATCTTATCCAAACAGTAGTAGAAAATAATGTTAAAAATATTTTTATATTATCTTGAATCTAAAATAGAAAAAAAAAAATCCTTCTCACTGTGTTCCAGAAAGAACTGGATGTGGCATGATTGCATTACTTTTAATTGCAAAGCATCAAAAACATCTTATTTATTAATTACTTCTCTGCCTCTTATTTTTTATATAAATGTGTAATCACATATTCAGGCCTACTTCATTTGTTTCTGGGCTCTCAGGAACGGAGTTCTTAATATGTGCTTATGCTATTCTCTCATTGCCAAGTTTTATATAAAAACATGTAATCTACTGAGCAATATTTCTATCCACTATAAACTGTTTGCTCAAATCAGTTGGATGATACACTGGATGTCATTGCCTTCCAAGCCAGGTCTCTCTGGCAGTATCCAGTGCAAAAGGGCAGGCAGCAGCACATTCCTTCAGCTTACTTTTTGATTTATTGCTCTAAATATAACCTAACAATTAATGCACAAAAAGTAATAGAATCTCACATGTCCTGTTCCTGTAGATATGGTAGTTTTAATAGATGTGTTTTATGAAGTTAATATGTATGTTAGTTCAAAGTCATGTGATTCATGACAGATTGATGAAAGAATGACTGGAAAGAAGTTGAGATTTTACTATTGTAGTAAATAATTGAATTCAGTTGTAAGATGAAGTTCAAGTCTGGATATTAAACGCGTTTTCCACAAGCATCCCTGATGAAGCCTGACCCTCAAAGTGTCTTTCAGTATGAATATATCATGGATATGAAGATCATAAATCATAATTAACTTTCAAATTTGGTGAAGCATTTCCATTTTTCCCCTTTCCAGTTACTCAGAAATCAGTAAATACTGAGTGAGTTCATTAGCCTAGAAGTATTTTTTTTTAATTTGGCTCTTTATTAATAGTAAACTATTCCTAAGAAATTATTTTTATGGCTTAATTCCAATACACTCATACAACATACTTTCCTAGGGTTTGTAAATTTGAGCGTTACCCAGCTCTTCTAACCCTATCAGTGTTGTTCTAAGTAAGTCAGTTTTACACCTGACCAAATTTGCAAGTCTTTCTTAAATGACACTTCAATAGGCACTTCAGTAGCAAATTCTGGCTGGTTTGGTTTGATCTGCAATAGCAAACTTAATAAATCAAATCTGATTAAATATTAAGAAGTTAAAAACTGCTGGCAATAAGGACCAACACTGAGGACGTGGGTTCGATTCCTGCGCGGTCCCCATGTGTTGCCAGGTCTAGTTGAGAGGTGGCGTCCCTGCCCAAAACAGGGAGGTTGGACTAGATGATCTCTAAGGTCCCTTCCAGCCTAAGCCATTCTATGATTACTGAAATTCAGGGCAGGTATATTTTAAAAAACAAGTCAATATTTCTGAATAGCCAGTCTCTACTGTCTGAATGAAATCAATGGTCCAGGTTTGAATATTCTGTCTATTGAGGAGTACACAATGTACACACGAAAATAGACATTTGGGTAACTACCAGAAGGCCACAAAAACATCCAGTGACTAATTTAAGACCTCAGTGCAAGGATGTGCTGTCATTGTCATGGTCACCTCATCTGGACATCACCAAACTCAAGAGTTGTTTCAGACATTGCTGCAAAAAGTCCCTGGGGAAAATGCTGGGCAAAACATGACAGGCAGGGAGAGAGCAAACTGTCAGACAGGCTTTGGCAACATGGGGATTTTCAGCCCTGGTGTGCCACCTGGGATCAAAGAAGTGTGAGGATAAATGTGCCATGAAAAGCTCTAGGCCACTCTTTAGAGGGTGTTATTTATCAATAGAAGCAAATTAATACTGCAAAACTAGTTTGAAGAAGTATAGATAAAATTAGAGATTGCTGGCCCACTAGACAAGGGGCTGGGGATGAGCCAGGTCTTCCTTGGAAGGGATGGAAATAGGAGACAGAAAAGCTCCAGTGAGAAGAACCTGCTACTTCTTTACGTGAAGTATGGAGTGATGAAAAGGGTGGGGGCATCATAGTTGCCATACTTCACCTATGATATTTGCTGTTTTGCATACCCTTGACTTCTTCCCTTGGCAGCTGAGGCACAGTCTGATGAGGGCTGACAAAGCTGCCACTTAGCAGAATAGAAAATAGGGCTCTGGGTATCTGCTGGGCGAGGTTATTCTCCAGAGGATGGCTCTTTGAAATAGTCACCAAATTTTGAGTGAAATCCAGGCTCTAAGTCAATGGTGAAATTCCCATTGACTTGTAATGGAGGTAACAAAATTGTATAGGTTTAACTTTGGCTTTTAATCAGCAGGTTAAAAGACCTTCTGTATTGAACTGAAGGGAATGGTAATATTAGTTGAATTTCTACAAAACAGCAAAATTTCATGTCTTGTACTACTGGTCCGTATTATCAGTTTGCAAAATGGAGATTTTAGAGCTCTAAATCAATTACCTATGTATCTTTCCTTTCTGAAGACTTAGATATATTATCTCCTGCTCTAACTTAACCAGAATATTCCACACAGTAAGTTACTTACATTTACATCCAGGATGCCACAGCTTTGAATTGCTGAAGGAATTAATCTCATAAAACATAGGCCTGGTTTTATATTGCCTGCATTTCTAAGACTACATTTATTCATAGATAATTTGCAACATCTGATATTCATTTACTATATACTCATGAGTAATACATGCTTGTCTGATAGACTTTTTTAGCATTCTAAATGCATACTCAATCTTGCACTACCTAGTTTCCTTTTGTGCATTGCTCTTAACCTGCATCCGTACTTTGGAACTTATACATGACCTCTGCTGCAGGGAATTTTGGCAACTGAAATGTAACTTAAGTGTTTTGAGTTGAGGGTGAAGACACCTATTTGGTGCTGAGCTCTGTTCTTTATTTGACGTGTTGTACCAACAGTACAGCAGATGATCTGTTACATGATTTCATACTGAACTGCTGACAGCTGTAGTTGCATTCCATCATGTTTTGTCCATGGCTGCTTTCCTGATTTTCACACTGTTGCAAAACTGAAGCAATTCTGTGCTTGTTTTGCATTGGATTTTTGTAATACTGTAAGTGAGAAGAAAATCAAAGCCTGCCTCTATAACAATATCTCTCACTTTTGAAAAGCAGCGAATTAAGGAGTAAAATTCCTTAGAGAGCACACGGGAATGCCCTTCTATTTGAATTTTTAAAAATGATGAACACCAGATACCTGGTTAGTGTCAGTAGAAGACAGTATATTGTTTCTCTTCTCAGTAATGCTTTCTGAATTTGTAAGGAATTCACTTGACACCATCTGAAAGAAAAATGTTTTACACAGAATCACAGAACTGTTGAGGCTGGAAAAGACCTCTGAGATCATCAAGTCCAGTCTATGACTCAACACCATCACATCGACCAGACCCTGGCACTAAGCGCCACATCCAGCCTCTCTTTAAACACCTCCAGGGATGGTGACTCCACCACTTCCCTGGGCAATGCATTCCAATATCTGAGCACCTTTTCAAAGGTACAGGCAGGGATAGGACCATGGAATTCTATTTACCTCCATAAACTACTCCCATCTTACTTTTAAAACTTTTTAAATAGCATTTTTTTTCCTCTGATGAAGACCTTAATGATTCAACAAAGAATCATAATTTCCACTGTTACCTAGTTCAAATTCTGAGCTATAAGGCTTCTCTCATAGCATGTTACTTATAAATACTTTCACAGCTTGTGTCTAGAGGTTATGTGAATATTAGAGCTCTGGGAAATACTAATAGCCTCCTCTATTACTTCCTATACTCCCTTAAATCTTTACAATAAAGGAAGAGCAGAATATGTTCTCCCTCGAGGAAGGAGGAATGGCCACAAAGAGGACATCTGCGTTAAGAATACTGTAGCAACAGGACCAAAGGAAATTTGATAAAAGATTACAAAATAAATATTATTTTAGAAAAGACAGAGAGATACATAGGCAAATAAAAAGAAGGCTAAAAAATGAAATCCATATGAAAAAATATGTAGATTGTATAGAAGGCAAAGAGGTAGCTAAAAAAAAATAAAATACTATATGAAGACCACACCGATAACACCCATCTAAAAAAAAAAGTCAAGAAAGTGAAAACTAAACTTTCCAGCAATACGCAAGGCCTTTTAAGAAACAGAGCTCTAGTTAAAAAACAACCCTAAAATACTAACCTGCTGCTTTTTTCCCGCTGCTTTAACAACAGCCTCACACGCTTCTTGACCATTTCTTTCTTCTTTCTGAACAGTAATCAACTCTTCAGAAAACTCATCTTTCTGCCAGGTGAAAAGAAAATTAAGCAAGCTTATAGAAAATAGAAGTTAGCAATTGTTAGCTACACATTGGCTTATGCTCACAGTGGAGCAATGTAAGGAAAAGTAAAAGCTTTATATTCACAGTTGTGTACGTATAAAACAGATGTGTGTATTTCACATCTTTATCTTTCCACTGAAAAGGTTACAGTCCTAAATGAGTTCTTACAAGAAAGTGCTGCATTATTAATTTTAGATTTTAGCACTGAACAAGTGAAAAATACTGGGTGAACTATTCAATCTTTGGTTTTTTTGAAGGAAAAAAGTCTTTCATTTTGGACTCAAAAATTCCAAGAATTGTTCTCTTCTGACATTCAATAGCCATGTAAAAGCAGGAAAGATTGTGCAATACAACATTTCTCCTGAATTTGTTATGCTTTAAAAATGACAAGGAGTGAAATGGAATATGTAGTCATGACATTGCATACTCATAGCACCTATTTGTGTAATAATTTGCTGAATATTTTCATAAGATATACATTGACTACTGAAAAATTCTGGAAATGTTTAATAAGAATACTAGTTTTAAAATCTCAGAATACTACATATTATAAAAAAGTAGTTTTAATTCAAAAATGTTTCGGGACTACTCTATTGCAGAAAATTAATTTTCACAATATTCCTTTTGACTGACTTTTTAAAAAGAATTATCCAATTAAAGGTTGAAGTAGTTAGTAAGTCGTTTATGAATATCTCTGTGTAAAAGAAGTGTTCTCCAAATAACTCTGTTAAAAAAAGATAACAAAATTTGTCAAAGTAAATTATGGCATTCATTTTGAAATTCCAGTTCTCTTGAAAAGATCCATATTATGTTGAACTAACAAAATAGATCAAAGGTTCAAGCCCTGTTCTGGCAAAACCTGCACTTACTGTCCGACATATAACATTTATGTAATCATAGATTGGGAAAACAACTTCGAAAATCCAATTGACATTTATATTGAAGGGTTTTTATGGTCACAGTGAAAGGCAAAGTCTTTTTCCCATTCCTCTAATGACTTTTGGAACTAATTTGTATTTTTGGCATTTCTTACTGCCTTTAAATATATTAATGTATAATTTGAATGATATCAGGTTTTATACTATAATTCCATCAAGGAAAAGTGAAACGACATTCAACATCAACAAGAGCAGGATATGTCAGCACCTTAGTTCTTCCAGCTTCACAGAAGAATTAACCTATCAGCTATTGCTGAACATGGGAGATTTTTGATGCAAGCTAGGTTGTTTGGCATTTTATAGATCTAGCTGTTAACTATATTACTATATTAACTATATTACAGTACCAAGGGAAGAAGAAAGATGAAAAAAGTATTTGTGTAGATACTCATTTTCCCCCAAAGGTTTTTTGAAAGTAGTACCAGTTCTGAAAGAAGTTGAGAAAAAGAAACCTAGGAGGAATATGTAGTCCACAAACAACTAGCACTTCATTGATTGATTAGAATCATTACCTAAGGTAATGGAAAAGTAAACAATTAAGAAATGTGTCAAACTGTCATCAATGATCCTCAGGCAAAAGTACAACTTCAGACACTAAGCCTGATAAATTGATGCAGATGCAAGACATTCTCCAGATTTTAAAAAAAAAAAAAAAAATTACCTTAATCTCCTTAAGTTCTTTCAGAGTTCTACACAATTCATCAATAGAATTAATGACTTCTTTGTACTTTAATATGGCTTTTTCAACATACTTCTTTCCTTCTTCAGTACCTACAAAGGTAAAACAACATGAGAGTAGAACAGAATGCCTCAAATAGATGTGTATCAATGAATGTACTTTGCAAACTCCATATATTACAATAATTATGTTTTTCTGTGTTGTGTTTTGCTGAAGGAGTTCTGTGATTTGCAGTGATGTGCTTTTCTACCTCTTACTACTTACTTCAAATCAGCCCTCAAAGTCAGTGCAGATCTGCTAAGTTTCTCCTTGAACAAAATTCCGTCTGGCTAGTTATACTGTTTTAAAAGATACTGACCTTGTGAATTGTCTCATAAACTAGTTGCCTTATTATACAGCTAGGAGGCACTTAGACCTTTTTCATAAGAAATACAAAACAAAGGCAGGATGGAGAAGCTTTTTCCCATGTAATGACTTAAAAGATATTAAGCAGTTTCTTTCTCCCACTGTTCCTAATTGGTTAGCATGAAGAATCCATTGTCAGCTCCTTTTCTACAGATAGGAATGTTTAAAGATTTGAGAAGGTTTAAGAGGGAAAAAAAAAAAGGCAATGTGTTCTCTAAATAGTCTTTTCAACACTAAGTTATAAAAATTTAAAAGCACAGTTTGACTCTTTCGATTTTTTTCAGATTTACTACTTGAATTGATAGGCTACACAGTATCCTTGCACATTTAGATGGTCACCTTATCGGGATAAAATAACTTCAACAAGCATATAAACATTAAAAGTGGGAGAAAAAAAGCAAAACCTGAAATTTGTTGACCTTCATTCATTTGACTCAACAATGTTTTAAATCAATCAATAGAACTGAAAGTACAGTATTTACATCATCTTTTTTTTTTTTCTTATAAAATGCCTAAGGAAGTTGGCAAGTACCACTAGTTATTCATAGTGTTAATGTAGAAAATTCACTCAGCACTGAGGTATAACAACGTAATATACTTTGACTTCAAAGGCTTGCCTGTTATGAGGTGACATAAGCCATGAAATCTTAATTTCAAGCTCATAAATATTACAAGGGCATTCCGAACACTGTGATTTCAAGGTTAACTCAAGCTGTATACAGAAAACCAAGTAACTGCCAGGCTGTTGAGTCCTTTCACCTTTTTGTTTTTTTAAATACATTTTCTGAAATCCTTCACCTCTTCCAGTCAATACTTGAAAATGGTATTTGTTTTTTAAACTTCATGGCATTTTCTTCTGAAATGAACAAATCTAGAAATCTGCTTCCTCCTGTCCTAAGTTATTTTTTCCTCCACATTACATCACCAGACCATTCCTCACCATATAATCGTCCAGCAAGGTCTATAATCTCCTGGATTTTTTCTTCTTGTTGAGGCACTGTAGGCTTGATAAACTTATTGAATTGCTTGTACAGAGTCTCTATTGCTTCTCTTGTTTTGCATTCTGCAGAATACTTGCGAACTCTAACAACTGTTGCACTCACGTCTTCAAACCAAAATTGACACTGAGGGATAAAAACACTGCATTATTTGTAGAATAGACTGGACTATTCTTAGACTTTCCACAACCAGTGGCATACAGTATGTCTTAAATTTTCTTATTTTAATTTAACCTTCTTCTGTTCATTACTAATGTTGCTTCAAGTATTAATAGCTGTTAAATTTTCTTTAAACACTAGATCTATGCTCATCTTACAAACATGGTGAGGTTAATAATAACAGTTCTGCAAACATATGTTTGATTTCCAAGTTCTTTCCACATTGTATATCAACTGACTACTTTCACAAAGGTCTTATCATGACCACAGTTACACCTCTGTAAGGGCGGCAAGGTCACTTAGATTTAGTCTACTAGCAACCAAGGGGTTTGGTCTCAGCAACCATAATAGTTGCCAGGCATCTTTCTACTGACAAGAATGGGCTTTAGAACATATCCTTAAACATATCTGGTTAACTGTCCTCAGAGAAAGACAGAATCTGGTGTTCAGTCAGTATCATCTGTATTGCCTTGTTACAGCAAACAGTTAATAATCACCATTTTTAACTGCCTTTAAAGTCAGCATTTAGGACTGTTCGCTGAAAGAAAATGTAAAAGGCGATCCTTTACAAGGAGTTAAATAAAAAAGCATTCTTAAATTTTAGTTCTAGGATATAATCGATTCCTTCAAAGGAGGGAGTTAGAAAATGTACAAGTACAGCAAATATTAACAAATTGCTTTGCCAAAAATATATGAAATGACACATTGATCAGATCACTGGACACTGAAAACATCTTTTGAACAAAACTTTAGTATTGTGATCCATCGTTAAGTGAATTTGTCAGGCTTTTAGGTCACTTTCGAGATATGAACAGTATTATTTCTAAAAATAAGCAATGACGACAGGATTGTGCTTGCCTCACAGTAGATGCACCAACAGTGTGGCAAGAGGAAAAATACTGTTACAAACCTTTCTTAAAAACGCAGTGCATAAGGCAGTCCTCATCCACATTAAACTAAAGAAGTCCCCATAAAGACTTAGACTGCAGTTCATAAAGAAAAAAACCATATACTTAATTGTTAAGTCTATTAAAATAGACATACTGCTTTTAAGGAAATGAATATTTTACTTTTCAGTTCCAGCATTACATACCACACAGACAGCTCTTCCTGACAACTAACAAAGTAGGTATTTTGATAACCTGGCTTTTGTGGTTTGAAAGCTATCAAAGAGGGCCTTGTGGCACTTACTGTGTTGCCTCAGAATATACTTCAAGAAAATGAGCCCGTAAGTATGATCATAGGTATGCTGAATCACTATGAAAGTCATACAGAGGTAGGGTCCCCAGTTATATGCATGGCAGTGCAAGAATATGGTCATGCTGCATGTTTTTCTCCACAAAGTTACAAATAAAGAAAAATTAAGATATGTATATATTTTTATCAATCTACTACTTTTGGAAGCCACAGATATTGTTTGAAGTACTTATAAGCACTTTTATCTATCCCAGTCCTGGATTGTTATTACAGCCACAATGGGCATCTCGGGCTTACTAGTACCTCTTCCATCATCTGTTGTAGATGCTCCACAAGATCCAGATTTTGCTTGTAATCCTCCACAACTCTGCTAAAGTCAGTCAGCTGTTTTTGTAATTCATTGATAGATCCCAAGAGGACTTTAACTTTAGCATTAGGTTCATTTGCTACAGAGCCAATGACTTTCTTCTCTAAATTAACCATCTTCTTTTTAAGAACCTGTTTAAAAGATTTACCAATATTAAATATCGCAACAAAAATAGTTTTATTTTTAGAAATAAAGAAACTAAAAACATGGGAAAAACACATAAACTTATATATTGTCCTGTGTTTTAAAAATTACAAGCTCCTTTTTGAAAATTCAAAGGAAATCAGAGAGCATCTACAATGTTGATTAAAATCAACTTAAATTATATTTACTGAAGACGTATTTGAGTTACATTTTTCAACTTAAAAATAAACAAATACCTATAGTAATAAAAGACAGGATTTTGAACAGAATATCTTTCAATGAATTTGCAAATGAATAAACATTATTAAACTTATGGAGTCTTGGACTAAATACAAGTTAATTTAAGCATCAGTTATTTATGTCCTAGAATATTAACATACTGCTCAAGAATCTGATGAAGCAAGAGGAGTGACGATCTAGCAGAACCCCAAAGATGAAAGTGGAACAAATACTCATACTAGTTCTTTATGATGTCTGGTATAAACACGACCTGTAAGATTTAGGGTAAGATGGTGTACCTGTATGCATATATACACATATTTTATATCTCAGAACACTGGTCTTGACAGTTGATCAAGACTTTGTTATGCTAGCTGCCTTACAAGTGATGCAAAAAGGTAGGCCCTTCATTTTTGTTTGGAAAGGAAGAGATTGGTTTAAAATAGGAATGTATTTCATGAACTGTCCACATACATACTTGTAAGAAGATACAGTGGTAGGAAGAGTGGTGCCAGCAGGTCAGAGGTGATTATTCCCTTCTGTGTAGCATTACTGAGGCTACATCAGGAGTCCTGTGTCCACTTTGGCTCCCCAATACAAGAAATAGCTGGGCATACTGAATCAAATCTAGCAAGGGCCCACAGAGGTGACTGGGCATGTGTTATACAAGGACAGAGAGCTGAGATCTTTTAAGCCTGGAGGAAAGAAGGCTCAGGGTGGATCTTATCAGGAGTTAGGGGAAGATAAGAGTAAAGGGAACAGAACAATGAAAAATGTCCCAGAGGAAAAGTGAGTAACAGGAAAGCTCACAATACTTTTTATATCTCCTCTGATTTGCTTGGCACAGGCCACAGCAATTCAACCAGTGAAGCCTTCACTAAGACTCAAATTTCTAATGTTACCTGTATTTTCTCTGCATATGTATCCACTTGCTGAATCTGTATTTTAAGTACTTTCAAATTACGAGCTTTTTCAGTTTTCTTCGTGTAGTTAAACTTCAAATTGTTGAATTTCTTTTTGAGATCCTTAAATGATTCTCTGAGCTGAAAGAGAGTAAGCATATTTGTTAGTAAAAAAGAAGCCAGCACACTTCAGTTTGTTTTTCCAAGAGCCATTTAACAGACCACAACCTGAACATCGAAAATTGAATACAAATTAATAATAGTATGCCATCTCACAAAGCATCTTTATTTCCTCAGAATGTCTTTCTGTTAGTTGAAACTCATAATCTTGCTAAATCAACATTTTTGCATTCTGGATGCTGAGTATTGTTTCCAGAATGAGGCAAAAAAAAAACCAAACCTGGGGTAAAGGATGAGATCCTTGCTCAGCTACTGTATGAAAAAAATCCTTTCTGAGAGCTTTCGCTGATTTTAACTAGAGGCAAATGCTCTTCACATACTCTAGTCCATTCACTGGAAGTGAGTAGCCATGTAAATGTGCTTAGTTTTCAGAAAAACAGTTTTACTGGGCTTGGGCAAGTAGAATTGTATTCATTCATAGTACTTTTCTCCTGCAAGACAACATCTAATTTATGTCAGGTTGGGTTTTTTTTCTGGAGTTCCTCCCTCCTTCTCCTTTTTCAGAAGTCCTGCTTCTGAAAGGAAGTTACCAAGCAGCTTAATTTTATACATTTTGCTAGTCCAGACATTCTAATGCAATTATTCAGAGCATACAAAGATGGATCCAGTTCTTTGCATGGTCAGGATGTAGACTCTGAGTACCTGCCTTTCAGATAACTATTCTACAAATATCGTAACAGATTCTACCTAACAGATACATAGAGTAAGCCTTGTCTCACTACGGCTAGATAGATTTCGTACCATGTGAGAGTATCGTTACTAGCTAGCACTGACTTGGTGCAGCAAGCTCAACAATAGGGAAAATTAATCTTACAATAATATATTTGTTCTCTGAAAGCTATGTAATTTTCAGGTTTATTTACAACTGCAAAAATCCTTTTAGATATTACATTTAGTTTTGAAGAATACTTTTAAGCTACATATATGATAAACAGACAAGCAAAAACCTGCTTAAAATATCTTTCTGGAACCTTATAAAAGGTAGCATTTAATTACATTGCAATTCCACGATCACATTTTCAAATTATATATAATTCATAAAATTTGAAATTGAGGAATATAAAAAGAAATTAGTTTATATTTCCTTTTTTTTTTAGAATTACACATCCTTTGGGTTGACAATCTTTTACTTTCAGGAGAATGTAGACTAAGTTACGTAAAATTATATTTATCTAAAGAAACTGATATAAAAGAAATGCAGTAATTCTAATTATTTAGGGCCCCTTCCTCCAGACACAAATGAAAAGAACTTAACTCAGCGTTAACAACTTCAGGTCTCATCCACAATTTGATATTTGTTTGACATATTTTAAGCTTTTTTAATATTAAAAAGTCTTACAGACTTCTCCCCCTGCCTTCGCCCTCCCTCCCACCTCAGAATCCAGGGAGTAATGAAAGCTCATTTTGCAGCTACTGTTACTGGAACAGATAGCAATCAATCATTATTATTATTATTATTACATACTAATGTTAATCCATCAATGGATATATTTTTCATTTTCATTTCATCTAGGGGGATGGTGGCGCATTATTTCAGCCGTGAATAGACAGATGGTGCTCACTCAGTGTAATGGAAGAGAATTCTATCACTGGCACTGTGATCTCCAATTAGTTAAAGCTCTTTATCCTACTTAATTGCACAGAATAATAAAATCTATCTAAAAGCGCTTTGTTAATAAAACCACCTATGTGGAACAATATTTTGTATTTAGAACACAAGAACCCTGTCTTCTGGTTTAATATTGAGGAAGAGATGAGCAAGAGTTTATTTTAGTTTATTTCACTGGCTTATGCACATACATAGGCTAGTGATCATTTATAAGGCCAGGGGCTCTCTTCGTAGCAGTATGTGAAATTAGATCACCTTGTTTCAAATATGACGGCTCATGTGTCAAAGGTCTGCAGCTGCTGTCGCTCTTCTCTTTTAGCCTCAGTGGAAAAACCAGATTCAGCTCAGACTTGTACATCAGCCCCTCAGAGTGCAAATACACAACTCCTGTGATCATCAGCAACTGTACCAAGGACAACGTATGTTTGCCAGCTTTTAGAAAGCTAAATATATCTATTTTCCACTATTTTCTGCAAAATTAAATGCAAAAAGGAACTATATACTCTGACACAACTCAGTGGCTACAGCCCACAACTTTAATGGAACTTTGTAACTTGTCCATTGTGTCATAGACATTAATCAGGCAGCTGTTCCTAACTATAGCTGGCCTGTCATGAGTAGAGAATGATAGAGAAGGAGAGAGGTTTAGGTGCCAATTGCTCTGATTTATCACAAAACTACAAAATAAATGGAAAAATAGAGTTATAAAGGTACTTTGAACATGTTTTTAACAGTAGCATTCCTGTAAAATGCTTTGATTCCTCTGTGAGCTACTCTAGAAGGTACCTCAGTGTTGTTACCCCTTTTTATTCATATGTAAAACTTGTAGTAGCACTAATAATCAAAACAGCCCATGAAAGGAAGTTGCTGAAAATGGATATTCACTAAGTCACTCAGATTAAAGAACATCCAGCTAGAAAGTTGGAAGAAAGAGAAGATGTTGTTAAAGTAATTAATAATTACTTTAATTCTGGGATCACAATCAAAATAAAACACAAGGTGAGAAATGCGCTAAGTATCAGTTCCTACTAACTTGTGAATGGAGACAGCTCATTACTTTCTACAGTTAAAATCCATGTTTTCAGGTGTACCTTTCCATAAGCGTATAAATAACGAGGCTTTTCCATTGCACAGATTGTCTTCTGTAAGTAACTGTGTCACGTATAATACCCTGAACAGAATCAGTGTAGTATTAAGATACAGTTACCTGAGGCTTGACCCAACCCTGTCGCAAATGATTGCGGTGTAATCATAGAATTCTAAGATCATCAAGTCCTACCATCATCCTAAAACTACCATATCTACTAAACCATATCCTGAAGTAATGCAGTGGAGTTGCAGCTCTTCTACACAAGTTACTTAGTGAAAAAGGAACCCCAGGCTGGCAAATACAGATCTCAAAGGTCATAGCAGTTTTCCTTACACCTTTCAGAGGGCATAAAATCTGTTTTTCACCTTTGCAAGTGCTCTTTAAATTAAAGAAGGTACACAAAAAGCACACATTTTACTCTTCTGTCCTCCAAGACTGTTTCAAAGCTCAAGCTGTGTATCCTTGGCTTTAAATTTAACTGTTTCCTTGCTTTTTATAGAAGCACTAATATCTTAAAACACAATGATCTAGCCAAGTCCTCTAAGAATATTTTCAAACACCAGAGAGTCCTAATCACAAAAGCCCTTGCTCACATGCTTTATGTAGACAGTTAATTTCACTACCTTAAATGTAAATTAATTCAAGTTTTTGCAGCAGAATTATCTCATTGGCTATGTACTTGACAGCTATGGACAGCTGCTGCTTGCTGTTGCAACATGAAATATTAATTTGCTTAGACATAGTAGATGGTAAAGAAATCAGTATTTCAGACAAATATGCCAGATATTAGCAATACTCAGACTAATTTCTGAGGTTAAAATAAACAGAATTTAAAATACTCCAGTGAATGCTTGTAACTTTAATGTTTTTGAACTAGATCAGTGCCTGTTTTCTTGATACCTGAACAGAAATAGTTAGAAAAAAAAAAAATTTGGAAAAAAGGCAGTAAATCAATGTATATACATATACATTAGCAAAGTATTTGTATAGGAAATGCATTCTATACTAAGCTCTAATAGAAAACAAATCTAAAGAAAGAAGTATCTGCACATTGAACTAATATATTTCAGTTACGTTACATTCAAGATTCAATTAGGTTTGGTGGTGATGCATTTTAACTTAGACAACATGGCTTTCCCAATTTAAAATAAAATAATAAAAAAATAGCACTAAAGACATGCTATGCAATTATTTTGCAGAAGGTGTCCATTACATATAAGAAGATAAAATGCTACATTTTGCAAAATAGGGCATGTGTTTACATGCACCTCTTTTTTGGTGCCCATATACCTTCAGTTTCAAAATATCATTTTGTGACGATGGATACTTTTCACAAACATACAAAAATATTTTGTAGAAGAAAACCCAACCAACATTTTTCTCATTAAAAATAATTGGGAAAGAAATCTCAGTCACTTCTATGTTGGTGATTTTGAAAAAATACAGTCTTTTCTTTGTTCAGGTGTGGATTTACGTAGCAAAAGAAAAAATAAGAAGTGTAACATTCAGTGTCCTGTGTTTCTACTACCTATGCTTCGCACTACAGGGAAAGTTAGCATGAAATCCTTCCAGGTAAGAATCCAGTTTCTGTACTTCATGGATGCATGAAAGTGCAATCTACAGAACATCAGGATCACTCTGAGAAAACTGATTCCATCCTAAATTAATTTTTTTGAAGAGACATCTATCTAATTCAGCGTGCTTAATTGTGAGTGTTTTTTTAATTGGCCTGTTAAGATGCTAAATTAATAATCATATTAACTAAATAATTTTTCCAGACCTAAGTTCCATAATACTAAATTCTAATGTCATGTGCCAAAGAACATTTGTTTTTCTTCTAGCAGTTTTTTGTGTGTCATATGGTAGGTTTCAGAGAAAAATCTGAAGTACTAATTTATGCTGAACTTTTCATAAAATACCCTAAAAAATCTTTCTAATAGCCTTACAACTGCCATATATGTAAATTGTAGTTTTGTTTGAAACTTTAGGTTCACAAAAAAGAAATCTAAAGACTCATGCTTTTCAGATGAAGCTAGGAGCTGCAAGCCAAAGAAAATATAGCTATTTCCAGTCCTCATGGTACAGTGGAAGCACTTTATTGCCAGCCCAAAAGCTTGATATAATCCTGAACTGCAGCAGTATGGATCATGGATTATTATTGCTGCTGTGTGGATCCAACATTGCTGGTAAAATGAAAATCAACTTTTCTGTATACATATGATTCATCCAGGGGAATGGTTAACACTAACATATATTATAGAACACAACAATCCTTTTATCAGTCTTTTCATGTATTGGGCTTTATCTCATTTACCTCTTTTATCTCCTCTTGACTGATGCAGTGTTGGAAATGCTGTGACAGTTCTTCCTCATACTTATCGGCTTTGGAGCTCCAGTTAATGCTATCACACTCAAATCTAGCAAGTTCTTGCTTCAGATTCTTTACAGAAATATTCAAGCAATTCTAAACAAATAGACAATAGAAACAATAGAATATAAACAAATAGAACTTAGAAAAGGTGTTGATTTCACCAATCTGAAATGAAAATAATTTTGAAGCAGAACATGCCTCAAAGTCAGTTGCAAAGGGCTATGGTAAACTTCTAAATCTCCACTACATTGAGAGTCCTTTCAATCACTAGTACTCTGAGGAGTAGCTTTGGGTCAAAGTCACAAGTCACATGTGCTTTCTGCTCTGAGCAAAGAGGAAGGGGCCTGCTCCAGTCCTTTACCACCTGGAGATTCGGCCCTTTCTGCTGTCAATCAGTCTATGGAGCCTGAATAGCCTACTGGCTATATGAATAATGTAGTCAGGTCATAAGGGAATGTCTTTCTTTCTCCCTAGTGAATGTATACAGGGCAATGACAATCCCACCCTGAGTAAAGAACTCATTTCTGAAATTACGTCCATTTTTTCATGCAAATCAGTCTTGAATCTACTAGTAAGATAACACTGTTGTTATATTTCTTTTTGTTCTTTTGTTATCCTTTCCTTATAGGAGGATAAACATGTAAAGCAACATTTACAAAGTAGCAGGAATCTAATATATAGATGCAGCATTCAAGGAATCACCAACAGAGTCTTGAAGTCCACAAAGAATATTAGAATATAGAAGGTCATAGTGATGATATTTTAAGATTAATTTCCTCCCTATTTCAAATATATTTCGATGTTTTTCAGATTCAAATCTGTTCAGAGAAAGTTAAAAAATTAAAACAAGGTTTCAAATAAAAAACGCAATTTGCAGTGTAACTACTGAAAAATAAGTTACATCACTCATGGATGTTTAATTCAATGTCTGTATATTAGCAAACTCTAAAAGCAGAAATCTAAAAATTATCAACTGTTTTACATTTTCTATTTTGCTTTATTTGAAAAGGATCTTAAATCTCTGTATTTTTCTCAGAATATTAATAAAATTTTGTACATCTAAAAGTCACATAACTCAAATAATCTTTCATATTTGTCCTTTATTTCACAAATCATTCTAATTCTACTCACAGGTTGCTGCACTGCAGACAAGATATCTGCTCCTTGGGTAATAAGCAGTTTAAATAGCTGTCTGATACGTGTGTGTTTCTCCTGAACATTCACAAGGTAGGCTTTAGCATGGTGCACATCTTCAGGGTGCTCACATATTTCAGGAATATCCAGTTCTCCCAATTTTGATAGATGTTCCAGCTGGAATATATTAAAATCAGTATGCATTTAAAGTCATATGAAAGGAAGCTTCACATTTCTTTCCTTACCTATAATGTGTTCCCCTAAACTTTGTTGGTAAGGGTTTAAGTAATTAAATTTGGCTTTAGGTCTGAATTTTAAATTTACTAAATTTCATGCAGTTTTAGATCTAAAATTTTAATTCTGAACACTAGGCAGGTTAATAGCATTTGTTTGGGAGAAGAAAAGAAAGACAGACACCAAAACGAAAGAGTTTAACTGCAATGGGAAGAAGGTATATTTTAAAATATTATACTCACTTCATTTTTGATGTGATGGAACTTGACTGTCTTGTTGAAAATCTCATCATACTCTGCCATTGTGTTCTTTACCATTTGATGGAAACAAATAAGCTCACTTATACTCTCAGAATTCTCTTTCACAGAAAATCCTTTCTGGCTTGGCAATTCTAATAATTTTATCAGGTACTCAACCTCAGCATTCAGTTGCTAGTAAAAAAAAAAAGCAGATGTTACTCAATTTACACAAATATATCTGCAGTTTTTCCTTTACATTTGATGAAATAACAACCTAACAGTGGTAAATTGCCTTGGGAAAAACCAATGCCATGCTCTTTAAAACACTCTCAACATACTTTCCTTTTCCATAGTCATGGATCTCAGCTGTCATCCAGAAAGAGCTTTGGATCAAAACAAGTCAAACTTGTAGAGAAATGGCAGACTGAATTACTAAAACTCAGAAATAGTATTCACAGGAGATGGGAAGCTCAGCATGTCAGTCCTCAGCCTTTGACCAGCTCTAATTTGAGGGCATCAGGATGGTACTTTCCTTGTATTTCCACCACCCCAATGTTTGTGTGTCTCTTTAATACACAGCTAACACCATATGACACTGAAGATAAAATATCTCCTCCCTTACCTTAAAAGCACACACAATCCTTCCTTCTGGAAAAGTAATGCAAAATATAAAACACTGTGACCTCAGATACTCTTTCTTGGTACACACTGAACAGTGGTTCGCATCTATATTGACCCCAGACACTCTATCAATGTGAATGTGAACCATTGTTCAGTGTGTACCAAAAAAGACCTTTTGATCCACCACACACTTCACTAGCTTTCTCACCTGGTACTGGGGTTTCATTTGGTTAAGCTTTTTCTGTAGTTCCAAAGTGATAAAAAGGTCACTCCCAAGGTCAACTGTCGCTGCAAGCCGGAGTGCGTCATCTTGAAGAATCTCTAAGCCATGGGTAGTCTAAAAGATAATAAACCAGTTCAGGGTTTCTATCTGTAGCAAATAAAATATTAAATTTAAATTCAAATCTAACAAAAATCTTTCCCAAAGCAGACACCCAGATGCTGTCAGTAAAACTTCTCTGTCTCAAACCCTCTGAAGGACAAGGTGGTAGGAAATCTTGAAGAGTGTGCAAAAACAATTCAGACACTGAAATCTCAGGACTTGTATACACAGTGTATTTTCTGTGATAACAGATGTTGTGGTTTAGTTATTAGTTGCAGTAGGCAAACAGTGGCTGCAAACCTCTGGTTCTGCTTTTAAGGAATTTTGCACACTGTCCTTGCGCCAAGAAGGTTTCAATCCTCTTTCCTTATGAACATGATTGGACTTGAGTTTAGTAACTATCAGGACATAGTTTAGTAACTAAGTCACAACAAAATTGTGCCTTTTTGAAACAAACCCCAATAAAGCACTGCTGGTATAGTATATGCAGTTAATTAAAATTTAAAATCTGAAGTGACTTCTTGGACTTATGTATCTTGGAACAAGGGCAAAACAGATCAAAACCATTTCATGTCTCTTGATGTCTATCTGAAAGGGACGTTAGGCTATGAAGAAGTATCTTACTGGTCATCTCTCTTTAAGTGATACCTGTAATAGTCGGTGAGAAAGAGCCACACAAAGTAACAACAATCTAAAAACGTTTGTTCCAGTTCCTTTTTTTCCTAACTATTTTACTTACAATTTTCAGTTGTTCTTTAAATATCTGGTACTGTTGCTTGACGGGTTTTTCTTCAGTAATTTTAAAATTCCAGATTGCCCAAAGATTCGTCAGCTCTTCCATTTCTTTACTCAGATTAACAATGATATCTTCTGTTATACGTACTGATTTTTCTACTTTTAATATTAAATTCTCATTTACCTAGAAAATAAACAGACATTTTTTCCCATATGTTTTTATAAAATACAATTAAAACATAATACTAAAGTCTCAACAACGCTTAACAAAAAACAATTTTTCTAGCGGAACTTCATATTTATAGATGTCTTTTAATACATTGTTCTCTTGGAAATAAGCAAAGATCAATGGAATTTGTATACTGACATGGTTAATGTTAAACTTTCAAACATAAAACAGGTCAATAATGATTGAGTTATTTCCATCTGAGAGCTGTTTCTCATACAAAATAAAGTCATTTCCGAATAGACAACCACCCAAAATAGCCTTTTGGGGAATCGTAACTGGAAAGTGACGTAGATAAAAACCGCTCCTTTGTGCTGATAACCAAACCAGCACAGAAGCATGGGAAGGTGTTTAGCATTTGAACATTTGTGGGTTTTTCCCCTTTTTAATGGAGCCCATGTCAGAAATACTAGAAAAGTGGGTAATGCTCTTTTTGGTTTTTCCATTTCACAAATTTTCTTTTAAGAACAGTTGTGTCTGTAAATTACTTGTATGATCCCTATCTTCCAGATATTAAAAGATACAAAAGAATATCACAGGAACAGAGTAGCAGAAAATATGGTGGCAACACACTTCCAGGTCCTCAGGGAGAGAATATCTGAAGATGTGTTAAGACTTTAAGTGACTGCAGTGCAACCTTGTGTTCACACATATCCAGCCTGCTTTTATACTATTTTATCTGTGCCTGGCTGCATCCAGGTGTGAGAGCACACACTTTAGCCCACACTGCCTGCCTGATCCCTTTCCCTCCTTAAGGAGGTTTTTCCATCTCATCTTGCATGCTGCTGTATGTTATCAACATCAACTCCCCCTTCTCACCCTAATGTAACTGCTCCCTAGCCTGTCCTACAAGACCAGAAAGAACAGCTGGATAGCCTGGCTGTCTGCATTGATTGGGTTCAATTTAGGAGGAGTGCTTTGGGGAGTGACTGCACATCTAAAATGATTATCTCGTGAGAAGGTGATGGAAAATTAGATAGTGATGCGTAGGCAGTGCAGCTGAACCCCAGACAGAATGTAAAGACACCAGGACAGCTCGTCTTTAAGAATGCTGCTCTAGCACACATTTCTTTAGAACTTCATATACTCAATTAGTAAAGACTGCCCCTTAGTAGAAGTAAAAACCTTAATACAGTACTTGCATATATGCTGCTTTCCAACATGAACAAAAAAAATATGTGCACGTATTATATTTGCACGTGTGTACTGGATCACTTACTAAGGGCTGTTTGTATTACTTATAATTCCTTAAGCACTCAAATACTTCCATATTTTAAAAATACATAGCAGCATTATTCCCTTTAAAACTAGATACTGAAGAAATCACAATCCATCAGTCACAGAACTATGATTAGACCTCATCACAGACAAACATCAAATATTCAATATGGTTTATCAGTTTATACTCACCATATTTACTAAATTAAGAAAATTGCAACCCATATTTTGGATGGAAAAAATCTTCTCAATAACGTTTTGCCACTGAATATTAGCTGATCCTATTGCAATTTTACTTTCAACCTCCCTGCTCATTTGTAGTGGTTCTAATTTATAGAATTCCTTCAAATTTTGGATATCATTATTCACCTATAGAAAAGCATAAAATAAGCATCAACAACAAATAAAAAATTGAGCTGCTATAATCAGAAGTTGTACAAACATGATGAAATTGACTAACAGCCTCCGAATCTTCTATAGGTTTTTAGATTTAAGAGAGGATGATAGATCTTAATAATAAAAAATAAAAATATTAAATAATAAAAACATTTTTAATAACATATAAGCAGACAGGTAGCAAATATCTGTTCAATTTCTGTTACACATCGTTACATGGATATTACATACCAGAGTACCAATACAACAATTTGGAAGTTTATCTTCAAATAAATAAGATCTATGGCTAATTTTTTCTGATACGTTCCATTCTGTCCTCATTTTTTTCTAAATATAAAAGAACAACAATGTTGTACAATCTTAAAACAAGCATTACATCAAAATGAAAATTAACTGTCCTGAGCATCATTGCCACAGATACCAAAATAATGTTAGTATTGAATTGATTATGATTTCAGCTAGAGCAAGTTTATACTTAATTTTTACACCCGTTCAGATGAATTAGAACTTCAGTGGAAGTAGTTCAAGACAGCAACAAATATCTATATTCACTTATTATAATATAAATATCTATAGTAACATACTATGTGAAAAAATTTTAAAATTATATGAAGCCAAATCAGTAAATTTAAGAGTCAGTGTACAGACTTGTAAGCTTATTTATTATTTATTGAATGAGAGAGCACACACGTGCAGGAAAAGGCAAAAATTCAAGTATAACACTTCCTACAATGGTGATTTAAATCAGGAGAAAATCTGTACGTAGTCATAGTCATAGTCATTATGTTAATGCAAGTTCAATGATCAAGGCTGCTTTTACTGAGGGAACAGATCTTCTTCAAAGTAGAAAGGAGCATAGAAAGATTTGCAGCACTTGCATGCCAGAGCATCTACAGGATATAACTAGCTAGAAGCACATTTTTCACTTGTAAAATTTTCACAGTCTAGTCAGGGAATAAATACGTAATCCATACCTCTATAACCGCCTTTAAAAAGGCCACATAAGTCTTTAGAATTTCTACTTTTGAACTAATATTTTCTTCAATTTTTCTCAGTTCTTCATTCAGAAAGTCAGTTCTGCTAGAAAATGTTGCCACCTGCTCTGGTTCAAGTTCTTCCATATCTTTGATGATTCTCTCAGCTGCTTCCAGTTCATGTGAAGTTTCCTTCGAGGTTACAAGCATAGAACAATATGTATAATCACTGAGAAAGACTTGTGAATATTGATATTGTCATTGTGAATATTGTCGATCTTCACTAGCATTGCCTTCTTGTATAAATCAATTACTTAATTGAAAAATGGCTCATAATGGACATTATATGCTGGAAATAATAATTTCTTTGCTAAAAACTATTGAAGTAGTTATTAAAACAGCAATTTTGAATGGGAAAAAAAAAATAGGTATCTCAGTATTGACATTAAGTAAACCGTATTGAAAGACTGAAAAAAGAAGCGTTCCAGATAATCAGAACTGATACCATTCCTTTAATAGACAATATAGCCTGATTTTCTGAACTGATTCTCTTGAGCGTAAATCCTGTTTAACTGCTTGTCTGAGACTCAATTCTTATAGAATGCTGTGTCCCCTCTAAAGTGTGACTCCAGAAGCACTAGGTCCTCAAAAGGCTGCTGCTGCAATTGTTCTAAGGCCTGTCCTAGTAGCACTTTACCTCACGAGTCTTAGTTCCTCTCATGCCTTCATTCTTGAATCAGTAATTGCTTCCTAGTGATAGACTAGCTCCTACCCATCAAGCTAGGCTGTCCAGCATTCTAACCCAAACCAATGTTTTTTTTTTCATGCAGCAAATCTGCAGAAATCAGGTGGAGATCACATACTGCCTCATATCTGTTATTGCATCAATCGCTCAGACCCAGAAGAAAGTTGCAGTACACTGGTCTGAGCAAGAGCTGAAGTCACTAACATTTTCCATGATCCAGCTGGGATTCTGGTTTTCAGATTCACTGTCTTAACTCATAGCTAAATATATCTATGTCCATGTGCTTGTTTGCTATTATATATTTAACTCAATACCACTTAAAATATCTACCTCTGGGCATTCAGTCAAGAGGACAAATTCTAGAATGTCACGATCCACAGAAAGAATAGGTAAGGGAGGTTGTTATTGTCAGGGCAGATTATACACTGCAATAAACAAAGTTAACACTGAGGCATGCAAAATTTGGCAGAAAAGACAAAAAACTTTTATACGGTCTTGTGGAAGAAAAAGGGGCTCTTGCTGATCTACTGAACCTTGGGTTCCATAAACTGTTGCCTGAAACAAAAAAGAACTCCATAGGAGTAATGGAGTTTTAAGAACTCCTAAAACATAGAATAGTTTGGATTCGAAGGGACCTTAAAGATCATCTAAATTGATAATCTACTTTAGGATACTCCTGAAATATATACTGTCATGTTGTTTAGTTTAGTCATGAAATATGCACCTGTGTCCAGACCATGGAGGGCATTCAACTGGTTTTAAGCCACTTTCAGATACTGCAGTGCTGCTACAGGAGTCTGAAATGCTCTGGATGCGACTTGAAAATGGCCTCATCTGTGTTACAGAGGTGAGTGCTGCACTGCTTTCATTCCTTGGCTACATTCCAAACACGACCACTGAATATCTGATGGCAACTTCGCAGCCCACAAGTTTCTCCACATGTAAACTTGGTTTTTTTCTTTTTTGCTGCTTCACCCCTTTTATTTGGCATAATAAACCAGAAGAAGAGTTTTCTGTGCCTCTGACTGTCTAGACAATTTTTAAACTTGGCACCTCTGGTAGGTGTAGTAATCCATATTCAAAGAGTCTTCCTATCAAGGGTTGATACTGGGATCTTGAGGCAGTAAAAAATACCACAATGAAATAGAGACAATGGGAATAACTGACAATATAAGAAGGACTGACATGTCATGTTATCTGTGGTTTTGTGCATTGACGAGAGTTTTAAACTAAACTATAGACCTATTTTCTTTCCAAGAATACCTAAGAAATTCTCAGCCTCTCACCTTATTTGGAATTACATACTGCACTCACTTGCTTCTAAAAGTACTTAACATTATTAAAGATCCTTTTCTTTCTTTTTTTTTACCTTTGTTTGTTTAGCCAGTTCTAGGTGTTTGTCCAAAACTCTTTCCGACTCAGACAAATACGAACCAATCTCCATGCCAACTGCAAGCACTGGGGTGATTTTCTTAATTGACTGTGATACCTGTATTTGAAAGCATTATTTAAATAGTTTATACAAATAGTCAGTGTAAAACAGTATAAAACATCACTTTGTGCAGAAAAAAGTGAAGTAACACTTGCCTGTTGGTGTTTGTCTCTTGTGTACTTTGTATAATCAGAGAAATTCAGGAAATAAAACTTAGAGGAAGAAAATTCTACTATTTCTCCTAAGAAAATTATAACAGGTATAGTCAGATTCCAAGAAAAACAACTCCTGTTTGGTCTCATTTAGTTGATAGTGCTTTCCTTTATCCTAAGTATCCCAGGCTTGTTATTTCAATAAGGTATGGCTGCCTTATAATCTAGATATTATAACCTTGGCACAAATATTTTTTATTATGCTCTGTTGTTTAGTTTGTTTTGTGTTTTTCTTAAGAAAGTATATTTAAAGCTTCTTTGTCTATGCAATGTGCAGATACATGTACACAACTCCATTTCATGGTCACTGTAAAATGTTATAGATGTGTGATAAAGATTCTGAAATAAGAGGCAGATAATAGGATATATGGTACAGGTTGTTATTATTAGAGATGTAAATTCACATGTAACATATATATTAAGAAGTGGCTGTTATATGAGATTCAAACTTCATTAAGCGAATCTCAGGAACAGCTGATTTTAGTACCAGACTCCTTGGGATACTTTGCATTATCAGAAGGTTGGAATGAAAAGTGTTTTTCTTGGTAGAAAGATAACGATAAGCACTGCTCACTGTAAAGAAAGATCATGGGTCATGATTCAAGTCTTCAGAATGTTCTCTAATACAGGACTGGGAACAAAGTGATTAGAATAAATTGTAGAACAAAACCATAGGTCAAAACTGGGGTCTACATTTTGAGTAAACATTGCCTCCATAATTGAAGTTTTAGCTTAAGATTCATCATATGCTGGTGATATCATTTCTATGAGGCCAATAGCAGCTATCAGCAAATCTTTTATTTTCAGCTAAACATCAATATTTTCACTGTTTTCTAATACCATGAGGCCTCTTCTACATAAATTCTATGCAAAGGGACCAATTTATGGCAAACTGACTTCCCATTTGATTCTGAATAGTACATTATAAACATCATGCAAATATCAAAATATTATTAAAAATATTGCAGACTTAATTATTAGGTCATTATTTTTTATTTACACTTTTGGTATACACTCTGTGTTGTCCTTCACATTAACCTTGTTATAAGATTGTATTTTTTAATTGGAATTTACACGTGGACCCTTATTTAGGAGCCCTGTGTCTATTCCATCTCTGGCAAGTCACTGTGAGGTCTGCAGTATTACAGAACATTCAACAGCTTAAAAGAAAGCTGTGATGTGCTCGATACATCAGTATCTTAATGAATATGTGGAATGTTTATAGTGAACCAAGTCTACCCTCCTTTAGCCTTACTGAAAATTTGCTGCAGTCCTCAGTCACTGTTCTTACTAACTCTCAGTTTTGCCACACGTCTGTTATTACCTTCAGCCTAATGAAACACAAGACATAGAAACAGTATAGGAAACCTGCGTGCAGGTCACAGTCTTGATTGCTCACATCTGCTCCAAAAGAACAAATTATAATAGCTTATTACCTAAGCAAATCCATGCTTTATGAAAGCTAGAAGTTCTCATGGAAAAAGTTGCATTTTTCAGAACAGCTTTAGGTTCATTTGTGCCAAAACCAGCATTCAGCATTCTAACAATCCTGCACTCTCTAACAAACCAATATGTTGTTTGCAATTTGAGTCAACTTTGATATTCATAGAGCTAAATTATGAAAACACCATACACTGTTCACAAATGCATTGTGTTATGACGTACCTTATTTAGGTGATCATCAAGTGAGGCAGTCCACTGTTTTTTCTTCAAAGTAAGTTCTTTATAATCTGGATACTGCCTGGTTAATTGATCTACTTTTTTTTGAACATATTCCATCATTTTCTGAATTCCTGTCACCCAAGAGCTAAAGTGAAAAAGTAAAACTGTTATTCCTTATTTTTACTCAACAGTCAGGATGATAATGATTTAAACAAAACAACAACAAAAATTAAAAAACTCCAAACAAACAATTTCTGTTGATTTGTGTGACAAATAACTTACGAATTTTAAATTGTGACCCTTAAAAGAAAACTAACCAAGAGAAATACTAAAAGGAAGCCAAACAAAATTGATAATGGGAACACAGGAATGACATTTCCAAACAAAAAAATTTATCACCAGTGCATAAGTTAGATTCACATTCCAGATATCCAGATTCACTGAGAAATACCTCATTTCACAGATAATTCTGACTTTAGTTATACTGTCTAAATACTAAAACCACAAATGGAATAGCCTAAGAGTGAAATATATGGCATATCATTTCTATTTTAAACCAAATGTTTTCTTTGGACTTTCAAATATTTTATTGTTCTTACGGGAGCTGAAAAAGGAATGTCATATATATTGTTGGCCAACATTTCTTTAAATATGCTGTTTTAACAGGAGAAAACACAACATCAATTTACGAAACAATGGCTTGTCTTATAACTTCAAATATTTAAGCTAGAGAATTCTGCAACTCCAGGGAAAAACCTTATTCTACACAGCTAACATGAATTATAGTATTAACGGATCATTCTATTTGAATTTGATCCAAGAATTGGTCACAAACTGCATTTTAAGTTTACTTTAGGTTGTAGGTGGTTTCAAAAACCATAAATTACTCTTTCAAAAATTAACAACCTCTTAGTTTGTACTTCATCCTTAAATTCTCAAAATGTCACTCCTATTTCAGTACTCATTAACAATGTGTTTAAAAGCTTCTACTAGCATCACTATTAAAAAAAAAAAAGCAAAATTTATAGTTTTTTTAACGATAGTTTAAATATCGATATAATCTTTGAAAGTATCATTTATTTGATTTAACACAAATTTACAGGAGCAGAAAAACAGAGATGGTTCTTCTCATAGGCAAGCTAGCTGGCTGGCAAAGTAAAAAAGTTTCTCTTAATGGACAAATCTTACTTATTGTATATTTATTTTTGGAATTAATACATATAAAATTTTCCTCCTCCTGTTTTTCTAGCAAACTTTAATTTAAAAATAAGAGCTCAAAAATAAGACTTACCAATATTGTCATTTTTAAACACTCTATGATTACAAGAACTAACTGCTTTCTGTCACTTGCCTACAATCTATTCCTCTTCCAACATGAATTGTTTCAGCATTTTCATTTATTTGGACGATCTTTTAGTATAAGGCTGCAATATGCCTCAAGAAGATTTGAAAGCAGAACAGAATTAACATATTTATCCATTTTTACTGTGAGTCAAATTTTCAATTATGCCACTGAAGACAGTGTCATTAGCTTTAAACATAGTCCTCCCTCCACCTGATTCTATCAGTATTAGATTTGTAAATCAAAGCTCTAGAGCTATTTTACATGGATACAAACTGCACAGCTTATTTTTGGGTACTCTAAAACTGAAAATAACAAACCAATGTGGATACGGAAATCCATCTACAATTTGATTCTCTTCATTTTCAAGTACTCTATCTTCTCTTGGTGCATCTAAACCAGTAGCTACAGTCGCTTTGATATTGCATTAAAAATGCATTTTCCAGTATCCTCAAGCAGAAGATGCAGTGCAGTTCAGGGCATCATCTCATCAAAATCAACAGTGTTAGCCAATCTGAGCAAGGTCAGATGATTCCTTCTTTTTATTAATATATTGTCTGAAAAACTGCGGAAACTGCCCTCTTTTTAAAAACTAGTCCAGTCATGCAAGTAGCAGAGCATACAATACATTCTCTATCACAATTGATTAAGGAATTCTAAAATTACTGTGCTCCAACTACTCCTTCAAGGAGCTGGCATTTATTTTAAAATTCCACATGAATTTCTACTTGCTGCTGGCTGGTTCAAGAACCCTACCAGATTGCAAACACTTAACAGCTATATATCTCATTCTAAGTTATTTTGTTTATCTTATGTAAAGCAGCTTTTGGAAAATATACCTAAACATTTTCACATCTACACTCTCTTCAAATGTTGAGTGCCCACTGGTGACTGCACTACACATTGAAACATATGGCAAATTAATTTCACTGGGGCAATGAGGCCTGAAGCAACAGGTAGATATGGAGAAATGCAGCAGATATGCAAAAATGCTGGGAATACCTGCGAGAGTCTGTTTTGTTAACTAATGCTTGTCCCTTTTGCAAGGCAGTAGCTGTGCAATCTTTAATTGCTTCCTGTAATTCCTCATACTTCATTGTCAAGGTAGAGAAATGTAAACCCTCTGAATTCAAGATGTTAAGGTAATTCTTAATACCTTCGAGGTCATCAAGTACCTGGGGGACAGGAAAAAAACACAACAAAACATCTGTTATAAATATTTCTATTTAAAATGTGCATATATATTCTTCCACATTAGTAGATGATCAGTAGACATTCATTATTTGGCATCTGATCACAAATTAAAAACAGTATTTTAATATAGGGCCTGATGTTGACCTTGCAGGTCACAGAAAAACACAGGTATAGTTCAGCAAAAGTTATAAGTATAGGCGTGAAAGATAATTACTCTTTTAATTTAAAACTATTCCCTTTTATCAGCAATAGTCAGGCCATTTTGACATACTGAAGCAGAACCAAAACAAGTGATACAGCGCACTAGCATTCAGTTTTATTGAAGTGCACTAAAAGACTTTTACCAAAATTCTTTTTTATATTTTAAATGTCAAATTTATATTCAAAAGGAGATTATAATTAATTCTTTTTTTTTTTTTTTTTAAAAAATAGTCTTTGATTTTGCACATATGCAGCTTTGGATTTGTTATATCTAGTCTCTGTTTTCCTCTAGTGCAAGCAGGTTTCCCATTCAAATGCCAGAAAGAAATGCCAAAAATATTCTAAAAATACGTCTGTCTTCTGACTTCTGTCTTTTTAGACAGAGGAAGGACAACTTCACAATACTTCATTATTAAAGTTAATAAATAATAATACTAGTAAAATATAAACATGCCCAAACCTACGGTGTATAATTAACATCATAGTGGTAACACTGTATTTTCTTAAAGTTTTTTTTGGTGTTTCTCTTAAACATCACAAAACCATGAAATCTAAATAAAGCAAATCAGTAGACAATGTCTAAATGTATTAATTTCTCATTGAACATATATATTTATGCAATGAATTAAAAGTATAATTACTATAACATCGACTCATCTTTATACATCTTTTTGAAAGGAAATCAACTGTTTGTACATCATCAAAATTGTGTTCTGACATTGTAAATTTATATATATACACTAAGCATTAGTTAGAATTAGTTAGAATTCTGGGAGACAAAAAAAAAAATGTATGTACATTCTAAAATATTGTCCTTAACTTGAAAATTACATGAGAACATCAAAAGAACTCTGAGGCAGACCTCAAGGTCTTACATGCATAAAAGTTGAAAACTGAAGAATTCAGTGAGATTCTCAGAGGAAAATGTGATTCCACTTGCTACAACATATTACATATTGACCAAGAACTCAGACTGAACTCAGAATGAACCCCTCATTGCTGACTGAAAATAGCAAGAAGTGCCTAAACTCTCTCAAACAACTGAGATATATGCAAAAGAAATGAAGGAAAATAAAGAGGATAAACAACAGTAATTCAACCTCCATACACGATGGATTAAAAGAGGACATGCCTACTATTTCACTATATCTTTATTCCTTGCAGAATAAAGAACTCTGCACTTACAAAAAAAAAAAAAATCTGTACTTAAAAAAAGAAAAAGGAGGGATAAAAGCTATCCAAGTAGATGTTTTCAAGCTCTTGCCATATCAAAGCAATCTCCAGCTGTTCCACATATAATTTCCCAAATATTCTCAGAGGATAGCTATGCAGATATCTCCCTGCAGATAGTCAAACTGAAGGTAACTAAACACAGATATAGAAAAGGAAAGCTTAGCAAGGAACGTGCAAGATTACACAAGAGCCAAGGAGGTTGCAAACATGCAGAAAAATCTTGCTTAATGCAGTCAAATATACAACAGAACGAAGCCAAATCACCAGAACTTAAGAGCACAAATACACTGCAAGTGCCAATATAATTTTTTTCTAACTACTCTTCTAAGCAATAGATTGTGGAAAAGAAGTTTGCACTACTAATACTGCTTGATGTGCATGCCCTTGAAGAACACACGTGTGTGGAAACAGAGAGATTTCACATTTTAAGTTTGCTCTTGAATGGCAAGGTCCTTTTCAGTGGGAAATTTGCAGATGTAGCGCCTTATTTTCAGAATTATCCAAGACTTAAAACTCAATGGGACACCTTCAGATAGGAGTCTAAGTGCTTAGTATTTCCAAAAAATCACACAACCCCTTGACTTTTTCAGCTTCAATGTAACTGGTAGTTGGTCTGCACCACTGGCTAGAGACCTAATGAGCCCCAAATCAGGGTGTGGGAAAATAACTGAAGATTGGCAAGGACTGTGCACATGCTCAAGTGACTTGCAGCTGGATTTTTGAAAAACACATATATCATTCTAACTGTTGTCTGTCCTTGTGTGTTTGAGCAGTAGAACATCTATGCTCAGATAACGTAAGTCTGTGGCAGACTCAGAGGCACCTTATCAAAGATTCCTGAGATTCCTGCTCTACTCTTGCAAAGACCAAACACAGTGGAAAATTGCGCCTGCAAAAATCCCTGATACATATAGGCAAAAGCAATGGGTTTGAAAGCTTTTTCACTCTCCAGCAAGGACCAAGCTCTTCAATGCCTGCATTCCCGCTTGCATGCCTCTCTGCCCAGGGTTTGTCAGGTAGCAAGAATAAACTGACTCTTTGCATTTTATCCTTTGTTCTGTAATTGTTTGTGTGTCATGCCTATGTCAGCTCACCCACAAGGGAACAAAACTGAGGACCTGTTTTTTAAGATTGTGCTCTGACCTGATAGCACACACTTGGGAAAGGCTTGAATAAGCTCTCAATGACATCAAGGCCTGATGAGAGAGGAGGCTCTTTGCTTAACCCTTCTTCTCTAACTCAGATAAATTTACTTCAACAAATTGTTGTGTGTTAATATTAGAATGTAATAATGGAACTTACTTTTATTACATGGTAAGTCAAACAAATTACTTCTCACTTTAACTGAAGAATATCATCCAATTTACACAGCTTTGAAAAATCTAATACAACTGTGGCAAATTGTTCCCTTAATCACTTTTGTGGCTCTGTGCTGGACTCTATCAAGCAGCTCCGTGTTCTTCTTGAGCTGAGGGACCCAGAACTGGACACAATATTCCAGATGTGGCCTCACCAGGGCAGAGTAGAGGGGCAGGAGAACCTCTCTCAACCTACCAGCCACAGCCCTTCTAACACATCCCAGGATGCCATTGGCCCCCTTGGCCATGAGGGCACATTGCTGGCTCATGGCCATCCTGCTGCCCACCAGGACCCCCAGGTCCCTTTCCCCTGCGCTGCTCTCCAACATATCAATGGATTTGAATTAATAATATTAAGCTCCCTCTGTTCTTCGTTGATCAACTCTTCCATCCCCTGTTCCTATGGGTATGCCCAACACCAACCTTAGTATGAAAATTTTTGAATTAACTGTGCAATCCTCTTCTTACCTCAACATTCTAACATTTTTGGGAGAAATTGGAAGTATTCAAGATTTTACAGCACTACTTCTATAAGAGAGGAGAAATCTTCTTACTCAATTTGTTTTTCACCTCTGCAATGAATTTCTAGGAAACAGAACCAGTTAGTGTCAAATGAGTGTCCAAATGGGATTTAGATTTTTATTATATAGGCATACATCTACTGTAAACTGGATTTTGCTTATACTAAGGAAAACTGTTCAGAAAATCATGTAATTTTTGGAAAGACTAATTCCAAGTTCAAGCTACTCTCTCAAAAGAGAAAAGGTCAAAAGTAATACAAGTGAATACGCTTCCAGTAACCAGGCTACAAATACTTCAGATTTAAGTGAGAGCGTTTTATGGCAATTTATTTTCCAGTCTTTTTATTTCAGTCTGTTTTCTTTACTTGAACAATAAAAGTTTTTCAACATTTGTTTATGGAACATCTATTAAAATGGTTCAAAGAATCACTTTAATTTAAAAATCCATTATAGATTTTGAACTGTGATTAAGTGCTATCCCGTAATATGGCCTTCGGAAAAGAATTTTAACATCTCAGGCCATGAACCAGTAAGAATATCAAAAGTAATCTAACTCACATAATGACTAGTCTAAAACAACTTCAAGAACATGTCTGAGGAAATACAAATCTGATATTTTGAGTTTGGGATCGGGATCTGAAGAGAAAGCAATGTTCAGGATTCAGTAGACAGGTAGGCCCCTCCCAGCCTTCTCTCGTGAGAGCTACAAGAATCTAATTCTGGAAACTGAATCACTGCTTCTCCTCATGCACACATCAGTGATAGAAATTATTGCCTACACATTATCTTTCTGATATCAGTTGTGCTATGCTTAATAGCATTTTGTTTTGTTTGTGTTTTTTTTAACCGGCCACTTTGGTGTTACATCATGTCTAGACCATATAGCATATGACATGCCCAGTATGAGGTATTGTACGTTGTCCTTGAGTTTCCTCATGTCTGATTATTAACTAGCCCCTGTGGAGACCACTGGAATTGTAGATGTTATTTCTGGTGTTTGTACTTGCCTGTAACAGTTTGGGTGTTTTAGAGCAGCTCCTGTATCTTTATACAGCATTACACCATCATGACAGAGCCCATGATCTTAAAGTCCAGGTTTTGACAGATAGTATTTTCTAAATATCTCATTTCAGAAGATGAGTGCTCCTCTCAACATACATTTTATTAAAAAAAAATAAAAACCCCCAAACATTTAAAATGCATTTGCCATTTTGGATAGAAGCTTCAGGTGGAAGGTCATATTAAAGCATAGTCAGGTTTGTAATTTTGCATTCCAAATGCTGTATCAAACGCTGCATAATCCCACATATATTAGACTTCAAGAGCATACTGACAGTTGTATTATCAGGTTATTGTTACAGACTTAGCTTCTTACCAACCTTGCCAGTGGTATGAAAAAAGTCATTGGCCTCTTGTAGCAAAGCTTTCCTTTCTTCCAAAAGGAAGCATACCTCTTCTCGCAACAGACAGATTTTCTGATTTGAGAGCTTTAGATGTTCTTTTTCTGTATAATCCTCTGAAAGCAAGATCTTAAAAGCTTCAGCTTCCAGTTGTTCCACAGTGGAATTCCATTCCTAACAGGAAAACAATCCTTTTAATGAACTACAGATAGAAAAGTAATATACCTGCATAACAGTAACATAAATACTGAAAAACATGTATCGCATTTATAGGCCTAACAGCTTTCGCCATTTAAAACTGTATTTCTACTAGGGAGGATTTCTCAGCAAATTATGGTTTTAGTGACAGAGTTTTCACTGGTGGCATTCACATCATTTGATACATTTTCATAGGCAGAAGTAGCGGTTACTAGTGTGTCTGCTGGGAAGAGTAGTCTGGATAACAAAGACAAAACACTTCTATTGGGTAAGACTGCACTCCCATCACAAACAGCCCCTTAAACCCAAGTATTTAACCAAGAACATAGTAAAATATTGCCTAGATAATAGCTGCTTTCAGTCATCGCTTTCTGCCGAGAGCTGTCTGGTAGTCAATTAAATCAAGTTACTCTCCCTTCCAGTGAGGTGTGCTATTGTTCTTGACACTCTCCATTGTACATTTTCCCTGGTTTCCTACACAAAACCACAAGTCTGTTCAAAGCACGTCTCTGCCTTATCTGATCATGAACTTTCCTAGTGGCAGTGTCAGAAAAGATGCTTTAAAAAGGAAGATCACAATTCACAATATCAAGGCACAGACTGGAAACATTACTAACACTTGACTGAGCTGGGTACATTAAAATGAAGGTGCTTTAAAATGAATTTAGTTGCCTCAGTACAAGGTTTGCATATAGATATTTTGTGTATGTTGCACCACATGGAAGGTGTTTAGCTAATCAGAACTGATTGTCTATTTGAGTCCTATTTCTTTTTTCAGCTTTTTGGTTTTTTCACCGAACTGGCTTGTGCTTCTAGTACACTAACCAAAATTATAAATCAAATTTAGGGATTAAATCTTCACGAGCAAAAGATTTTTTCCCTGCAGTTTTTTCAGACGTTATTACAGTATTCAACCCTACATTTTTTTCACCCGTTATTACAGTATTCAGTCAATCAGAGTTACTGAAAGGGATGTCAGACTAGATAGCCCAAATGGAAACGAGCTTTACTTTAAGGGATTGGGAAGAAAAAAAACATTTAAACTCTTCCTGTCTTGAAACCACTGCTTGGGTGTTTACTCCTTTGGTTTTGACGTGTTTTTATAGCAAAAACGGTAAAATAGTCTGTTACACAGCGTACTTTATCCTTGCTGTCCTTGTCAATACTTAAAACTGCTGCCTTAAGCTGTTCAAAATAAAAGGAGCATCTGATTTTATACTACAATCTCCCATGCCTTAGGTAGCATATTTCCTCCACATTTCTGGTAATTAATTAAATAATACAAGAACCCTTCTGAATTTCATTTCTCATTTCCTGCCACTGATTTTTATTAAATGTCTACGAAAGCAGACAAACAAATATTTAAAAGTAAGACAGACATTTTTTCATTAAAGTACTCCAAAGTGTGCATATGGCACAAGATTACAGTGCAGGTTCTTTTATTTTCAGCATGCTTAAAGAACATTAGTCTTGCATTTGTTATTTTTTAATTGAAATCATTGCTAATGAGAGACACTATTTTAGAAGTTTTCCCAAAAGAAGTGGCCTGGTTATTCACAGATCTCTCACAAACAGCAGCAATACTAATTCCCTCCCAGTGTTCCATCGTGCTACTTTATCTTTCTTTGAAGTACAGTAAGTGGAGATATACCTATCTCGGTCTGTACAGTTCAGTGCATTGCTTTTCTGACATTGTCCGTTGTTGTGGCAACAACTGGTGTGGTAGAAACACTTGTTCTTAAAGATCAGCCAATTATTTTACAGAGACTTCTCCACCAGATGTAAAGTCTCCCTCCCTGTTGCTATGGACTGAGAGCCACCATACAACTCCCAAAAGAGCCAAGCTTACACGGCAGTTCCAGTGAAGACGACTAATTTTCTTCCTGCAATCTAGAATATTCAGGAAAAGGACCTAGCATTACTCACGGGTCAGTGAAAAACACATGCAAGCAGGCCATGCCTGTATGTGCTTGCCTTGAACTTTGGATTCCTCTCTGCAGCTTCACAGTACGTGAACTAGAGCTGAAGCAGAGGGTATTGACATGGGTAACAACAGCAATTTTAAAATATGAACAAAACCATGGAATACGAAGTGTGATCACACCCTGGTGTGGTGTTGATACATCGCAATGCAGTATTTTCAAACTCATGAATTATTTAAAATACCTTTAATCTCTCTCAAAACACAGCTACAAAGGTATATGAAGTGATGGAACTTTCTGCATGAGTTAGTCTATGGTACTAACTGCTGCAAGTCATATTGGAGAAAAATGCTTTAGCAAAGTTGAGGAAAAATGGATTTTTCTATGATTTTATGTGATAAATGAGACTCTGAAGATTAATAAGCAAATTTTTATTAAAGAAAATGCAATTTGAGAGGATATTAAAGCTTATTTAGTTATTAAGTAACTTTTTTGAGGAGGAAAAATTCTTAAAAATACTTTAGGTTATTAAACATAAAGGGGCTGCTAACTTCACTTAAATAATAAGAAATGTCTCAGATTACAGCATTATTTGATCAATATCCTATTTCTGTGCAATGCAACATATTCCTTCATCCTGAAAATCTGATGAAGAGGAAAGGAAAAATATGACAATCCTGCTGAGTAGGGTTTTTTTTTCCCTCTGTGGCAAATAACCTTCACCTTTCTGCCACAGAAGACCTAAGCAGACATAAATTAATGCCTTAAAACTCTTTCGCATTAAACCTACTTTTGCTTTTGACTTACTATAGTATTACCAATAAAAATAATTAAAAAGTTAGCATAAACTAAATCAATACTGTTAAAATGTTCCAACCAGCTTAAGTGGCTTGTTAAGAAAACTAATTCCACATATTTCAACAAATTAAACATTTTGAAAAAGAAATGTGTCAGAATTCCAGGATTCTATCAAGAATTGTGTTTTCATTATGCTTCAGTATACTTGGCACTGTATGCCTACAAAGAAGCAAAACTATCTTACTGATGCTAACCTTGCTTTCTTTCAATATGGGAACCCTTATGAAAAGCCTTTCAGAGATTTTTCCAAGTTCAGCTCCTCCACAAACAAGCACCCGAAGACTAAATGCCGCCTGCTATATTTCCTTGTACGCTTGCAAAAAACACTGCTCTTTTAAAATATCCTGCTATTAAGTTGCACCACTTCCCAATAAAACAGTCAAAAAACCTCTGAAGTATTCCTTGTGGACTTGAAAAAAAGAAGCAATGAGATAAATCTGGGGCACAATAAAAACAATGCATTCATTTATTTTTAAATTGTCCATTATTGATAAACAACTACAGCAAAAATCTATCTTAATTTCGGTTTATTTTTCTTTAAAATTAAAATAACACCCACTTTTGTGATCTAGATGCAATAATCTCCAGCCTGCACTTTTAATTATGAGAAACCTGTGCTCTAATGCACAATTCCTCTTTCATAAAATCCTATCTTTGTCTCACTGTCCTAAGTAATATTCAGCAAGAATAAGGATTCTGAGGATAATTACAGTTTGCTGTGCTTTATTTGTTCCTTTTTACCTGAAAGATTTATCTTGGTAAAAAAAAATAGTAAGGAGATCTCTCCATGTGCACCGCTTAACTGGCCTACTGATGAATAAGGTGTGCACCCCTGACATCCAATTGTATCAGCACCACAACGTCATCACCTTCCAATGCATGCACCTGGAATGACTGGTATTAGATTCATTGCATGGTCAGATCGTAATCAAAATTTCATGTACATTTAAACTTATAGAAGTTAATGAGAATTAGATACTAACATAACAGTTGAGAGTTTTTAACCAGGATCAATAATAATTAACTGAAAAAAGGCAAAAAAAGTGCAGTTGAGTATGTGTATCCTCAATTTATTATTTTCTGCTACTTGTGTATGCTATAAAAATAATATTCAATGCAAGAATGAAAAATGCATATTTTAATATAACAGGAAATTGTCTATAGTTAGCTCAGAAGCAGATAAAGAAAAAAGTTCCAGGCTGTTTCAGTGTATCGGAATGTGTAAATTATAATTACAGCAAGCAAGGCTAAGTATAGAAAAAATTACTCACTTTATATTGAAATGTTTTCCTATAGAAGGATTTCATTGCACTATTTGTAAACCTGTTTGTTACAAGGTTCCCAACAGCAACTCTTAAGCGCTCTTAAAGCAGAGGTTAAACTCCACCTCATTTATTACTGAGGCAAGCTTCTCTAATCTTTCACACAAGCTCAAAACCCACTTTATTAGAATAATTTATAATTTAAAATATTCCATGAACATTACAACCTTGCAAACTCTCTGAAGGTATTAAATCATAGAATGGCGTAGGCTGGAAGGGACCTTAGAGATCATCTAGTCCAACCTCCCTGTCATGGGCAGGGCCACCACCTCTCGGCTAGACCAGGCAACACATGGAACTCATTTGCTATCCTATTTGGTCGTTACTCAAACTTGGTTCAATTGTCAGTAAAATAGCTAGCAACAATTTCGTTTTCAGCTTTCTACTTATAAGGCAATTTTTCCACATGTAAAAAGTCTATGCTATCCATGAACAGGACATACAAACTCTGTGGAAAAAAGCATCAATTTTTTCTGTCCTTCACCCATCTACATGCTAAATTCCTAACAATCTGTTGGTCAGCACTAAAATATTTGTTACTCATTTTTCCTAAAAGGATCACAAAGCCTACTGTTACCTTGACTTTTCAATCTGTCAAGAAAGGTTTGTGAATTTCTCATCATATGTATCTATATTCAACATGCTTCCTCAAGTCATGTCACTATTCTTACTTATTCCTCACAGCAGTGAGTCTTTTAAAAATTTGCTTTTACTATTGCATTTAGCAAGGAAAGTAAGATCTTCCTAGGTTCCTTGATTAATCAGTGTTTAAACTGATGAAGTAAAACTATTGTGGTTTTAAGTAAAAGCCTGGATTCTTTCCTGCCTTCAGAAATATTCAGCACAAGCCTGGGAAGAAAAAAAAAAAAAAGGTAGAAATGCCTAAAACTTCATCTTATTAAAGAACTGCTGTAAGATGAATGGGCTTTTTTGGCTTATACCATAAACATTTCTTATTTAAAAATTCAAACTTTGGATTAACACCGGAGAAGTTGTGTAAAATAATCTTAGAATATTCCAGTGAAGACTAAGATGAGAAAACCTTGAAACACACGTATTTAACTTTGGATTATGATCCATATAGAAGATAAAGTAGCAATCAAGCCATAAGCCAATTAAGTATAAAATATATTTTTTCAGAATATTTGATAAATTAACCCTTTCTCTCATACTGTAAAAATGTTCATCGCTGACATTTTTCTGAGCTCAGCTTATGTCTGTAATTGAATCATGGGATACCTTGGTTCATTTAACAGTGAGTTGTTAGAATCCACAGCTAGAAAGAGGTAAAAGTAATTGAAACTCAGTTATCTCCCATAAAATTGTTGAGACATGGTAAAAGATAACATCAGGACAAAGAGGGACCCATCAAAAAAACCCCAAAAAACAAAAAACCATCACAACCAGAAAAAAAACAAATGGAAAAGAAAAACCCCAGAGCACTAACAGAGGAACATTAGAAATGAAGCACTCTCCCAAGGCACCGAGATGGCTCTGCAGGAAAATCAGACAATAAGAACAACCTGATATATGAACGTAGATTTGCATCTGCTGCACGTGAAAGATGAATGTTGCAGTAAAAATGAAATTGCCCATAAAAATTCTTTTTCTTTATATACTTTGCTCTGCCTATCGAAATACAGGAGTGTGTTAAAACAGCTGCTGTGCAGATGAAATGCAGCACTTGTCAAATTCCTCAACAGAATGTCAGTGTTAGAAAAGCAGGCAAAAAAAGGTGAACAGCCTGCGTTTGCATCTAAGCAGAGAGTGGTACAGGAGCATGGCTGTCCAGGAGGGCCCAGACAGACTTTTCACATGGAAGTAGCTTTTCAGATAGTATTAGCTGTGAGAGCTCAGGAAATAAAGCAGGTTAATGCAATATTCTCGATGCTTATGTTAATAAAAACAAATACAGCAATCAATTCCATTGATACTAATATTTAATTTGGTCGGTAAGAACCATCCTGAAACTTCATTACAGCATGTTATTACCTAGCATGGCTACTCGAGACCTCATAAGCCTGCAGATCTATAAAACAGAGAAGTACTTGCCAACTTTCTACTAATTCTTACTAAAAAGGTGAACCTATTCTGACATTGTTCAGTCCTTAAAAGGAGAAAAAAATACACATAATGCAAGCAATTTAGAATACTACTTTTCTTCATCTCTAAAGTTAGAGATGGCCACGATGTGGTGCTAGCAGTTCTTTTTACTGTGACAAACACCCCCAATACACATGAAATGCAACAGCAAGCAGTTAATCAGTGATGGCAGATATCCTCACTAAAACACAACTTCCTAAATCCATCTCTTTTCTCAAATCCTGGTGGGGGTGGTGTCCTTTTAGTGTTTTGGAGAGTTGAGGGCTTTTTTTCCAGTTATGAATCCTCGGTTTCATCTTTGGTCTGATTATTGTACAAGGCAGCAATGTTTTAAGTGGTTTCACCTCTTAGCAAGGTGACGTTCAAGATAAGATACCAACCTGAGAACGTGATAAACCGTTCTCCTTTCTTTTCTCAGCCCAGTCACGTAAATAACATATTCATCCTGTAACTCCTCCTTAGCCTAACCTCTGAACAATTTAAGCAGTCTTTGTCCTATTTGTCCTAATGCAACAATACACGTAGGTAAACACATGGGGTTTCTTAGTGTGAAACTGTTCAGATGCCAGAACTTTTACTTCCTATGAGAACACTTACACTGCTCTGCATGTCTATTACACAGAAACTTTCATTCACACCCTCAAAGCTACAGTATAAATATGAAATGTTACTCAAAAATATTTATTAACACTACTTTAGATCCTAATAAAGAATTCCCAAAGTAGTTTAAGACTAGTTTATGAACGTCCTTATTACTTCTAACAGAATGCTGTTAGAAACTGTCATGGCCATTCAGACAGTATAGGAAATACATTAACCAAAATCTACCTTTATTTTTGCAGCAAGGTAAATACAATATTTTAAAGCTCCTAACTGCTTTTTGGAAACATTCAGTTTTGGTGTGAGAGAGCTAGATGAATGGCAGCAGACATCAGCTATTCTCTAAGCAATGACCAAGCTAGAGAAAAAGCATGTAGTTAGTTAATTAGCCAAGTATTGTGTAAGGTACTCCCAAGAGATCTTCCTGGTATGTTCTTCACAGCCATGTCCATATTTTCTCACATAAACTGATAAAATAGTTAACTGAATTGATAAAATTTCTAGATAAATTGCTAGTGTTGCATTTTTTAAATCATTGTGTTCCAAAGCATATTCTTGCCTCGTCACGGTTAAGAACTTCACAGATGATTTGAAAGAAAATATGAAATCATTGCTTAATAAAGTTTCAAGTTGCACAAAAAGTAGTGGAGTGCCATGTAATAATTAGGAAAGGTCAGTTATAGAGTTTGAGTGCAACCTTTTTTTTTGAAGTAGGCTCATTTGAACAGAACAGCTATTTGCAATTCCATATTTATCAGGAATTTCTGTCATAACTGGGATGAAAGATTGTATCCTAGAAAGTGGTGACTCAAGACAATAGTATCATGTTGATTGACTAACTGAAATGAAAATTTTACAGGACTAGTACAATATATTTTTAAAAATTTGTTCTTGGTTCTTCACTGGCCTTCCCCAAACTTCTGCCTGGAATTAATCAATAGCTTCTCAAACAGAATACTTCATACAACAGTACTGCAGTTCCAAAATACATGTGAAGTCAAAATACTTTAGGTCAGCAATGAGACACTGAAGGCCTGTGAGTTGCTGAAGATTTAGGGAATTTCATGTGCAGACATGATATATCTCAAAAGCCTGATTTTTTTTAGTCTGCGAGTAAAGTTGTCAAGTTTGTTTCTAGACTGTTCTGTATTTCAGTGTATTCCAACCACACAAGTAAAACATTATCTTGTGCAGTGATAGCACCTAACATTAATCTCTGCTATCTAACAAATATTTACTGGAATACACGTGTGATTGAAATACTTATCTGAATTTTAAAATCAAGACACCAAGCTCCTCCTTTACTCTGATCTCAACATTTGCAGTTCAGTGCTGTAAAGACTGATGCACAAATCCCTGTAGTGCAGCTGTCTGAAATTTATTTGAAGTATGCAAGTAGAACCTGGCCACTGTTTTTGCACATCATCAGCATAACCAACATGTTCAGTAACATCGACTTCAAGAATTTCACACCCACTGCTAGAACATGCTGCTAGTAAGAACAGCAGAATAATAAACCTTGAAGCAGTTAACTGTAAATTATGCAAACAGGCAAATGTGACATTTAGCTATAAAACTTAAAAGGAAGCATAACAGGAAGCAATCATAAACCTGCTGGTTGCTCTCAACAGAATATTGTTTAAAAAGGCATTTATTTCTACTGCAATGGTTCTGGGGTGGAAAAGGCCCACTTGGTCATCTGAGTTATCCAAATACAATTGCTTGAAAATGATACAGCAAGCAAAGATCCTGAGTGAGGAACCTCACTTAGCTGATGATAGCACAATCAGATCAAAAAAAAGATTCTAAATAGATACAGTTTACAATCATACAAATAATCTTTTTTTATACCAACATTTTCTTTAACCCCATCATGTTTTTCTAAGCAATAGTAACAGATGTATTCTCTGAAAAACTGATATTTACAATGAAAATAGTATTTTCAACTGCTTCTATTCCCAAGAAATAAATGGGCAAACTCCTCTTCCCATCACGTAACACAGTTCAGTGACAATGAATTATGGTAGAAGTGGCTGGCTTTTTATTCCATATGATCATTAAAGTTTGGTAATATTCTAATAAAATTATGGTTTAATATGTAAACTACCATTCTGGACTTGATCACTAAATTTAAAAACCAACTAACCCATATCAAGGACCACTATTATTTTACCTTTTAAAGTCCTAAATGAGAAAAACACAGAGAAACATGGAGGCTTGCATAAAAAGCAGTAAAAAAAATATCATTTAGACACATATAAATATATATCTTATGCACACACACCAAATATCTACACCTATATGTTCTTATGAAATGCCTCAGTTCACATTTTACTATTCAATTTTTAAAATTCCTTCACTGATCAATTATCATATTTCTTACTTTCACTTTGACTTCCATTTCTTCAAGCTCTTGAAGTAACTTTTCATTTTCCATTAGAGATGAGCCTAAGCTTTGCTTGTGAAAATAATCTCTGATGTTTTTCTTGTACCAAGATGTTACCTAAATAAATAATAAAAATAATTCAGTCAGTGAAAAATTTGAGAAGTAACTGCTCAACTTTAAAAATACGTGCAAGATAATTTCACCTACAAAAGAAGCCCTAATTTGTATTCCTTTTGTTGTGTATTCTAAATATTCATGCTTTTATTCACATGTTTGCATTTGGATTATTTAAATGTTTTTAAAGGGAGAAGATGTTTGTGGTCAAAACCAAAGATAAACTGGAATACATGTAACAAAATAGACAAAAATATATTCATCATGTATGACCAAATTATAAATTAACACAGAAAAAAAAAAATCTAGTTATAGTTACACTTAGAATAATGCATCTTTTATAACATGATAAAGATATTGCAGTCTTTCTCTAGAATCACATGAACTTAAAAAATCCTTTTGTGTACAGTAAAAAATTATAAATCTTTCGCAGAAATACAGAAGAAAAAAAAATAATTAAAAAAAAGACTGAATAGGCTTTATGAACTAATAGGATCTCAATGCCGCAGGCTTGAAAAATCCAGTTAAGCTATTGAGATAATATCATGTGGAATAATCTTTATTATCTTAAAAAAAAAAATTATTACATCTTCGTAGACTTATTTCAGCAAGTATATGCAGTGAACATATGCAGTATACAAGTGTATCTTCTAAATTGCATAGAATGACTTGCATACTTATTTTTGCTTGATTCACAGTAGGGACCTCTCACTTTCTTTGTAAACAACACATGGCAAGAATTCCTTTTGCATTTTAAAATAGTCAGAATGAGTTATTAGTACCAAGGACTTCCTCCAGTCTTTTCAGTCTGGAATACCACCACTATACTTACATCATATATAGCATACTAAGAATGACTTTGTACTCCAGGTAATATAGATTTTTAACAGCATGCTACAGAATTTATTTTTTTCAAAAATCGGCTCATGTAGAAGCTTTATTTAATAAATTATAACAACTGTAAAAATGAAAGAACCTTTAAAATGTGCTGGAAACTTTTAAGTTAAAAAAATTGGCCACATCATTTCAGGAGTTCACCAGAACTAGAAAAGCAAACAAATTATTTTACTATCGAGTCTCCATTTCTTGAGCATGTCCTCCAGATGGTGTGCTTGCCAATTGAAACATTTTTCCCAGAAATCCATTTTCACAGAACATTTACTATGGATACACCAAAATACAAATGAACAATAGGGACAATAAAAAATGTCCTAAAAGGGAGTGAAAAATTTCTCTGTGTATTAGGACTGTTCTCTATATCTGCTTAGCAAAGCAAACTAGCATTTCTGTAATGCTGGGCAGAGGAGAAAAATAATTCTTTAAACCTGTTATAATAAAGGGTTCATCCCTTTACCACTTGGCAATACTTCTTTCCATTACAGTAAGTTTAATCATTTAGCTTCCACTACAGCTGATACCTCTGAGTGATTCAGTTGTGCTAGCTTAGCTTTTGTTGAAGTTCAAGGGTGGGCAGCCACAAAACTCTGCCATGCACTCTCTGTGATCCCACCACCACTCTCCTAGGGGAGGATAACAGGGGAACCAGTGAGAGAGACTTTGAGGATGAAAAAAAATCTTGAATCAGTTTAACGAAAAAGAAGATAATACTAACGCTAACAATCAAGGTTTCAAACTAGATAGAGATATTATGCAAGTATGCAAATATGCTCAAAGATACAAGAGAATATGTTAATATGGGACCTGCACCCTCCAGATGACAAGGTTCAGAGCAGAAAAAAAAGGTCCCAGACTGGACTTGGCAACAAAGAGGAGTGCCTGAGCCCAGAGTCCTGATCATAGTCCAAAAAACAACAGAAAAGGAGCTGTTCCATGCCCACTCAGGGAGGCAGGGGAAAGTGACTCTGCAGAGTGACAACAGGAGGTGGGAACAGCAGCAGCACAGAAAGAGCTGGTGGCAATCCTTCCAACCCAACAGGCACAAAAGGCCCCAGGGCTCTTCTTGAGGGCCCTTATATACTGAGCACCATGGGAAGGAACATTGTGATTGGTCCATTTGGGTCACTTGACCCATCCTCTCCTCCCCACAGGCACAGCTGCCCCTCCTGCCCCACTGTGATTGCCCCCTGTGCCAGGAGCCCCATGAGCTTTGATTCTGGGGCTCTCAAACCAGCACAGCTCTTAAGGGACAGATGGGAATATTTAATTGCTTTTTAAGAAAGAAACCTAGAACCTTACTTTCAGTTATTTTGATGGAAGAGTGGAAAAATAGAGAAGGTTAAAATGCCTGTTTGATAAACAAACCAGTTTTTCCCGAGTGGTTGAAATGTAAAACTACTCCAGTTCTTCAAAAATTAATTTTCTGTCATTCATTAAAAAAAAAAATCTGCTCTTTTTGTGATGAACAATCCATATCAGAAATCAAAAGCTCGTAAACATTTTTTCAGGTTGCTACACTGATTGTTTTGCACTGATCATGATCCAGGTGATTTCAATGTTTATAGTATTCCACTGCCTTCCCACGTTTCCCACTGTCAAACCGGAAACAGCCATTTTCCAACAAACAACGGGATGGGGGAGACCAAACCAACAACATAGCTTAGTTTGTTGTGGTGGGTTGGCCTTGGCAGCTGCCAGACACCCCCCCAGCCAGTCTCTCACTCCTCCTCCACAGAACAGGGGGAGAAACTAAAATTTAAAAGCTCATACATTGAGATAAAGACAGGGAGATTACTTACCAGCTACCATCCCAGGTGAAACTCAGCTTGGGGAAAACTGAATTAATTTATTGCCATTTATAGATTTGGTGAGAAATAAAGACAAAACCTGAACCACCTTCTTACTCAGACCTTTTCTTCAAGCTCAAAACACTAAACACCACTAAATATGATGTATACCAGTCAACAAAGGCATTTCAAGTTCCAATATAGTGGAACAGTCCTTCTCATTTGTGATGTTTCTTGCCTATATAGACTGAAGCACTGTATGCTCTTTTGGCCTATTTATTCCTCTTTTTCAGCCTGCTGCAGTTGTAATTACTATTACCAGTTACTGTTATTGCTCATATAGCTAGAGGTTTGTTTGTGCTAGAAATTCAGTCTGAAGGACATCTAGTTTGGCTTTAAGCATCATATTTGATAACTTACAGGAGGGGTCCACATAACAGCACTTTTGAAGACATTGAAGTTATAAAATAAATTATGAGGATGTTATAGTGACAAAGTGAAATATCCCAAAGCTAGGATCTCATCAAACAGAAGTAGCCCAGGAGTATGAACCTAATAAATATACTGAAGTTCCTTTTCACGAATAGTTTCTACTGTAAAGCAGTTGGTAGATTTTTTATTTTTTTTTCCATTTTGACTTTCTTTAATACTATATTTCTTACCTGGTTCTCTTGTTGGTGCCACAAACAAATTTGCAGAACCTGCTCCAGTCCTTGGCGCTGATGTTTAAGAAATCTGTCCAGTTGCCGTCTCCTGTCTTGTAGCATTTCAAGGAGATTGTCAATTTTCAAGCAGCTGCTGTGGGCTCCCTGAATCAGCTCTGGGTTTGCATTTGGCCCCTCACATTTGAATTCTTCTATGAATTCAGTTAGCTCTTGGCTTTTATTTAAAAGTGCAAAAGACTTTTCCAAAAGCTCTGCAAGAATGGAATTCCAGAGGGGAAAAAATAAATAATGCCACACAATGAGATTGGTTTAGAGAGAAACAAATTTGCCCTTTTTGAATTAAGAGTGCCACAACACAGTAAAAGACGTTTCACAGGAAATTTGAACAAACGAAAAAAGTCACATGGAACAATTTTTCTAGGCAAACATATGAACAGAAAAGTTGTGGTGGAAGAGGAGAGAGCACCTGTTTTCCGAGAGTGTTATATTTCCAGCTCTTTGACTTCTTGGAATAGATTGGACAACTCAATGGGGAAGTCAAACACAGCCCCACTCCTCAAAGGCGGAAGCAAAATGCAGGGAATCACCGTAGGCAAACAGATTCTGAAGCTGGCTAGTTGCCACCTCTATCTCATAGCTCCCACCCTCATTTCACCACTCCTGCTTCAAATTCCATCCCTAGGCAAAAGAAAGCAGAAGGCTGACTTCTCCCTTGGCCACTCTCAAGAAATTAAAGGGCTTTGCAGGGGATTGTTGCTAAAGCCAATTGGAAATTTTCTAATGGAAAGTTTTCCATAGGAAAATGCTTATTTATTGGTAGCTATGATAACTGATGAATTTTCCCATGAAACAGGATAGTTTTAGGACTTGCTTGCAACTCAGCAGTACAAGTCAGCTTGGTTTGTTAGCAGCCCACCTGACCTGGATTGCCTTGAAATCAGCATACAAGCTTGCTACCAGCTGTTCTGCAGCAGCAAAGATGGAACCATGAGAGAGAACTCAAAGCTAGAAGTTCCATATATTACAGGAGGCCTGATGAATAGTTATTTCACCATTTGCTGTTCCAAATAGAATATTTTCATATTTGTCCAAAGATGGGATTTTGGGTTGTTTAAATGCACACGGGAAGAGTAAAATCTTCTTTCAAGAAGTCAGTGCACAATCACACACCATCAGGAGTGGAATACTCTTTGTACCTTTGTTATGATGCTCTTGTTGTAGAAGGAGTTCCCTCAAAGAGTCTATATTGTCAAACTCTTGGGCATTTTTCAGGAAATCTTCAACTTGGTCAATTTTAACAGCAAACTGTGTTAAGAAAACAAAGGGTGGCAAAAAGCATGATATATTTTTCTTTTGCAGAACTCCATCATAATCTCTACATTATAGAATGAGAACTTCTAAATTCTTGAGAAAAGGCATTTTCAGTGACAGCTCTATTGCTTCTATGCACCTTCTGTCTTTTGAAGTTCTCATTGATTGAGGGAATCCAAATTTCAGTTGACATACTCTGTAATTATAGTTTGTCACATTATGAATCATCTTTCCTATGTTGCCTTCAGACCCACTGAAAAGAAGTTCTTACAGAAGAAACTGTTAATTCAGAGCCTTCAGCAAAATCACTTAACATGAATGAATCCTTTGACTTAGGTCTCCTTCCCAGAACTTCTTTCTACTGTTAAAGTATTGAGGAAAAGAAAAAAAACAATTAAGGGCAACATCAGAGATACAAACTTCAAAGCAATCTTTTAAAGGCAGAAGTGAATAGCAGATTTAAGCTAAGTAATAATAGTGGGGAAACAGCATGTATATAATGAAGAATGAATGTAGATGACTCTTAGTTCATTTTTCCATGGCTTCCATATTTAAAATATTGAAACATGCTACATTTCATGGAGACCTGGAGTAGATTTCATATCTCCTTAGATTGTTAAAACTAAGACTGGGATTCTTTATTTGGCTGTCACCTTTGCAGGTGCAATTCCAAGCTCAAGTAACTCAAAGTCAAGACACATATTCTGCATCTTAACCCATCTTTATCAGTTCTACTGCTTCATTTCAAAAATTAAGAAAACAGTACAGTTCAAACTTGTGTTTCAGTATAAGATGTTGAAACCTACGATGAAATTAATGAAGGTGAAAAGCAAGCACTCTACATTTTCCTGTCTTTTCTATTGTTCCAGATTTTTCTCCCTCTTGATCTGCGAGCTAGAAAGCAATCTACCAGGTATCAGCATTTGAGATTTTAGCTCTAATTTTCATTAAGGCTAGTCTTGGGATACATTTTGGTTTTTACCACAATAAAACTAATATTTCCATAATCATGGGCTGTCATTTACAGAAAAACCTTTCCACAAAAAGTTTCAGCAACTCCTACTTAAAGTGATACTGCATTACTTCCTCCCTTCTATATACAATGGGTGTGACCTCTGCTGTGCTCCAGCTGTTGCATTTTGTTTTAATGACATAAGCCTGTGGCTAGGCTCAGAAGGATTTAGTCTGCAACCTTTGGCTGTACAGAACTTATCATAGGGATACTTATGCCAACTCTGTACTTATTTCCTTGTGTAATACACATCATTAAGACACAATAATTAGCAGATTATTGAACTTGGAATTAGGACAGTTAGCAGAAGAATGCTTGCTTCCATAATTTATAGGTGGCAGTGCGTTATTGTAGAAACAAAATTATCAGGAAGAATTATTAAACTCTTCAGAGCTCTGGGATGTGGGGAGAATTGAATGTGAGGCAACACAGAGCTAGCACACACCTGCAGGGCACGGAATCCCCCTCTGCTTTAGTGCCTTGAGTATCAGTGAATTAGGATAAGAGATAAATGGGTGAAGAGGAAAAGACAACACTCTAATGTCTGTCTCTGGGCTCACACATTTGTCTTCCTGTACACATCGCACATGGAAGTCTCAAGTAAAAGACTGGCAAGTTAGACTAATGTTTAGTTTGCATAATTACATTAGCTGTGTGGATATTTCAGTGTAACACCTTCAGAGGCCAATCTTCAGTAAGCATTAGTTAAGGCATCTGGGAATTCAGTTCTTTCAACACCAAGTAATTTAAATTATAAGAGACTAAAGGTATTCTGCAGAATGTCCATAACCACTGATTTATATATTTTAGGTTTTAGCATATTTCCATTTTTCACTGTCATTTTCTGTAAAGTAGAAATTTTGGAGACATCATGACTAAGATATTTCTTAAAATCTAATTTTTTGTTCAGTTTCATCCTGAACTATCCAGAAGGTGGAAAAGGAAGGATATATCTAGAGATTTTTATTTTCTTAATTGCTTAATCCTTTAGGAACGCAGTGAACATATATAACAGAGTAAAATTACAGTGCACAGAGTACCTGCAAGATGTGCAAGGTTTCAAATTAACAGTAATTTGATTTAAATACATACCTCGAGAGCATTTTCAAAGAACACTGAAGTAAGTTCCAGAAGTGCCTGTCGCTTTTCTAACATAATGATGAGGGCATCCCATGCATCCCCAAGGGTCTTGGCCATGGCATCATAAACCTGACTTTTTTCTTTGTTCTCTTCTGCAGCCTTGTCTGCTTCATGCAGCAGATCCCATACCTGGTTTTCCAAAGCCTAAAAGGAAAAAAAAAAAAAGGAGAAATTTGTAAACAGAATACATTGCTGATACTGGTGTCAGGATAATTTTCTCATGGGCTTGACAAACTCCCTACAAGCCTCCTACTCCCGCTTTATTTCCAGTTCCTAGTGACAGAAGTGTGGCTGTTCCTGTATGTTTCATATCAAGTTCCTGAATTTTATGTGTACTTAAGAGTTAAGAGAATTTATCATTCTATCTCTAGCATTGAGATTCATGTCTGTTTACACTTCCCTTAAACACAGATCTTCCGGACAGAGGTAGCAATGCAGATACTTTGGATCTTCTTTCATATGCCATCATATTACATTACCTGTCATTACAAGCATTAAGTCTGTAAGGTAACTTACCTACAAGGCTCCAATGGCTTCAATGCAATCCAGACAAGTGTAGCTTGAACACCTCCAGAAAAATATCAACTGTTTTAAGTTCAGCTTGCTGCATTGTTCATACTGGCTGTTAAATAGTCAGAGAATGCATTGGGTTGGTAGGGACCTTTAAAGGTCATCTAGTTCAACCCCCCTAGCAGGGAGACCTAGATCAGGTTGCTTAAAGCCCCATCAAGCCTGAGCTTGAATGACTCCAGGGATCGAGCCTCCACCACCCCACTGGGCAACCTGTTCCAATGTTTCATCACCCTCATTGTAAAAAACTTCTTCCTTATACTCAATATAAATATACCCTCTTTTAGTTTAAAACCATTGCCTCTTGCCCTGTCACAACAGGTCCTGCTAAGACTGTCCCCATCTTTCTTACAGGTTCCTTTTAAGTATAATAATAATAATAATAGTAATAATAATAACTGTCAAGAAAATGTTCTTGAAACAATCCCATAAGGAATATTGGCTTTTAGCAGAGAACAAAGTTATGAGACACCTGAAATACATATGCTATTAAATTGTCATTGTCTTCAGTTAAAAATGACAAAAAAATAGGGATTCTTTTCCCTGATATTTATCAAGGACTGGGAAATTATCAAAGGGATAGTGTATAACATTATCTACCACTCTTAGAAAACAGATTACAGTTTTCAGATTACAGTTTTCTGAAAACAATGGTTTCAGGGTTTTTTTTCCGCTGGTAATTGCCTCAGAAGTAATCTAACAGGCATAATGGCAGCATACTAAGGTACATTTTTTTCTGTATTGTTCACTTGTTTGAGAACACTGCATTTTAGGTAAGGTCTTGAAATTTCCAATGGTCAATACAATGCTATCAGGAAGAAGCAAGTTAGTCTATCTAGAAGGCAATTTCATCGATCTTTTCCGGCCTCATCCTCTATTTTCCACTAGTTGGTTAACTTTAGACACAAGGGATTTTCACAATAAAAACAGATAAAGCACTTCAAAGGCAAACCTACACTAACAGTGCAGTCACATTTCTACAGTGTTACATAATGCCAGTAAAATCAGTAGACTCATGCTACTTGGTTCTCATCTTACTTATTATGCCATTAAATTTGTTTCTGATATTTTGCAGGAAGAATACTAATGAGCATTTTCTTTAGCTGAAGCCATTTGCCAATAGGTAAATGATTACACGTAACTATAACGTGCTGCTCTTAAAATAGTCTCTACATTCAATATATATATTTTAGCCATTCTTGTTGTCAGTCATTACATTTCACAGACCACATAAAGGCAGGATATGACATTTGCATCCCTTCCAAACAGGCATAGATATTGATTCCCAAAATCTGTTTTGTAAACACAGCCAGGCTGCTTGCAAGATGATTCTAAATGGCTATCCCACCAAAAGCATATAAAACAAGGTTTTTGTTAGCATGAAGACACAGTCACGGCTAATTTGACTGGCTTTCCAGACACTTAAGATAGGAATTTATTACTATGCTTTGTCCAAATCCAACACAACTACCAATATTTTCTAATCACGTTATAAGATAACATGAAATGCCTAGAGCTCTCCTTCTCCACAGGACACAGAAAAACGTTTCACTTTTTCCTAACAGCTCAGCTTACTCAAAGCAGCAGCACTCAAGACCCAAATTCAACACTAACACTATTTTACATTTAAAAAAAAAATTTCTAGAAGAATCATGAATCATGAAACAAGATACTAGTTTTTAAAAAGATATAACAATGGAAAATAAAAAGGTTTAGGAATTTCATTCATTTTTTCAATACCTTAACTTATTCATGAATGAAGGTGTATGAAGAGACCACAAAAGGGAAAACAAAATAATAAACAAAGGTTTCATGTACAGACTGAGTCATTCTCCCAATACTTGAAAACAGCTATTGTGTCCTAAAGTTTGTTTTAAAATAGACCTAAAATTTAGGGCTATGACCTACAACAAATTACTTCAGTGTATCTTTTTGATTCTTTGATTTTGAGCTTTCCAGTAAAGCCTTAATGTCATTCATTTTTGGAACTGGATGTTACAGTTTTCTGTTTTCGCACGGTTTCACAATAAATGCATAACAAAATTATCATTTCAATGGAGCAGAAAAATTTAGAATGACACTGTTTCACAGAGACGTCTGGGTTTGTGTTTGTTGTATTTTTCTAATTTGAATGGGGGAAAGAAATGCATTCAGCTGATCCAGCTCTGAGTATGCAGTACTGTTATTTCTTGAATTAACAATTAAGTGATATGCACAGGTCCAAGTACTTTTTATTTCATATGCTATTGGTTTTTTTATTCCCTATGAACACAAAAAATTAGAATGGTACATTTCTCTCTGGGCTCTGAGGAGCTGGCATGAAATTTCAGACAGTAGAAGGAATGCCTTGCATGTAGTCAAAAAGCAATTTATACAGACATGCAACTTCTGTTGGTCTCGGTAAAACCATGTCAGAAAGGCATTATTTTGAAATCTACAGGCCAATTTCAATTTCTCTGCAAGATGCTATTTTTGCTTTTCACTTCTATGTCACTATATTCACTACACCAAAACCACACATTGGTAGCTTAAAGGGAATATTTGTGTCTGATATTGTAGTAAAGACAGAATTAGCTACTAATTGATTAGCTGAAGGTCTAGAAACATCTTTTTATGTAAGCTGTGATGGATAGTATAGCTTCTCTATTCTTTTGTTCCAAGTCCATTATTTGGATACTTGAAATTTGGTTAAAATAGCATGGAAAGAGAGGGAGAAATTGTCTTTTGCATTCCATGGTTGCAGTACGCTGAGCATCCCTCCCTCTCTGGAGGGAAGCAAAATTTGACCTTCTAGAGTACATATTTACAGTACATTCTTACCATGTATTCAGAAAGCTTCTAGAGCACAAAGTGAAGCAGATGGAGGAAAATACCTGGCTATCAGGGAGCTTGAAGCAGGAAAATAAGGACTAGATACACATAAGACAAACTTCCTAGAGGCCTAGAGAGCACAGAATACAGTATGTTGCAAACCAATAAGCCACACAGAACTGCTAACATCAACACATAACTAAAGGAAAAGACGAGATTTATGAGGACAGGGTTTAGAGAAAGGCTGACTGACAAGTGCAATAAAGTTACAATAAAACACAGCTCTGTTGAACTCTTCTGGTGATGCTCATATGTTTACTTGAAGGAAAAACTGAAAATCATTATATTTTAGCATTATGGAATCCTAATGCAGACTGCAATGCCTAAAATCATGGTTCTCTTTCTTTAAAAGACTGTTGTTCATGAATTTGCCAAAGCAATATGAAGCTTCATGTAACAGGATCTGTGCCATACAGGATTTTTCCAGAAATTTTTGACTAAAACAAAAATTCATCACTTTTAAAAATAAGAGGAAGGAAAAAATGCATCATTACAAGGTACAAGTTGCACTGAGGAGCTCAAGCACACACAGTCGGCAGCAAGGTGGCTTCAGAGGCTGGAAGACCCTGCGGACTGAGGGCGCATGGAATTGAAGCTGTCCCTTCTTTGGTTCTGAGAGTTTGCATCGGCAGCCTTGGTAGCTTTTACTGCGGTAATATATGCAGCCACGATTAAGAATATGTAGAATTTAGTATACTGCTTACATGTTTGTTTAGTTACTGCAGTATTAAGGAACACTGGAGCCACTGTATTTTGATACAAAGTCATTATAATTTTATAGGCCTAGCTATAAATATAAATATAAATATAAATATAA